AAGACCACCACAAATTGATCCAAATATGGTCGGAACACCCGATTCATCAAATCCATGAAAGCTGCATGAGCATTCATCAAACCAAAAGGCATCACTAAGAATTCATAATGACCATATCTAGTGCGAATGGTCGTCTTTGCAACATCAGATCCTTTAACTTTCAATTGATAATACCCCGAACGAAGATCAATCTTAGAGAATACAGTAGCTCCTCGCAACTGATCAAATAAGTCGTCAATCCTGGGTAGTGGATATTTATTCTTGACCGTCGTCTGATTCAACTTCCGATAGTCAATACATAATCTTAGCAACCCATCCTTCTTTTTCACGAACAGAACTGGAGCTCCCCATGGTGAAGTACTATGTCGAATAAATCCTCGATCGAATAATTCTTGCAATTGGACCTTCAACTCCTTAAGTTCTTTTGGAGCCATGCGATAAGGTGCCATAGAAATAGGTGCAGATCCCGGATAAGTCTCTATCTCGAACTCTACCTCTCTATCAGGAGGTAAACCAGGCAACTCTTATGGAAAGACATCAGGAAACTCGCTAACTGTACGGATCTCTTCGATCGTGGATATTGAATCTTTAGTGTTCAAAATACAAGCAATGAAAGTCTCATACCCCTTCCGGATCATACGATCAATTTCCATCGCTGAAACTATATTAGAGAGATAGCCACGCCGTTCACCAATTAACACAACAGTTCGACCATCTGAATTCTTTAGAGTAGTACGCTTGTATTCGCAATCCAGATTTACCTTGTGTTTATTTAACCAATCCATCCCAAGAATTAGATCGAACTCCTCTAAAGTAAGTTCCATAAGATCAGTGAGAAAAATTTCTCCCTGAACCTCGAGAGGACCGAAATACTTTATTCACTAATACCGCTTGTCCTACTGGACTCGTAACTGTAACAGTATTTTCAGTGTTCTTGATCGGAATCTGAAGGTTTCGAGATACCAAGCTCGATACATAGGAGTGAGTGGAGCCATTGTCCAGTAATGCAAAGTATGAGATAGAATAAATAGTAAATGTACCTGCAATAACCTCAAGCTCATCTCTGTCATCCCGACGTTTAGTGGCATAAACCAAAGCTGGCTGTCTAGCCTCAGAAATTGTTGACCCTCTATTTTGCTGAGGTCAGGCTCTACTGTCAGTCCTGGACGCTAAACCACGAGCCTTTACTTGGCTACGATCTCTAATTGGAGTCTGTACTGTAGTCTGAGAACGCACAGGAGTCTGAGTAGCAGTCTGCTCAAACGAAGCTAGCTGAGGACAATCCCTCCGAAAATGACCACTAGATCCACACTGATAGCAAAGACCCATCTTCTTACGACACTCTCCTATGTGTTGTTTACCGCAAAACTCAGAGAGGAACCCATGATAATACGACGAGGAACCGCCTTGACTGCCAACTAACGGTGAGGATGCTGCAGGCCTGAAACGTGTATTGCTTCTCTGAGGGACTGAAGTACGAGTCCTTTTCCCGGACTATGCTGATGACTCAATCGGGCCTGAAAATTTCTTAGATCGTTCCTGTTCAACACGCTCTCTACCAGAAGCTAAAACCTCCACCTCTTCAGCATCTTTGGCTCTGCCCACCAGCACATCAAATATCTCATCCTGATGGGTTACAACTTGCCTACGCATCTCGTATCTGAGTCCAAGAGAAAATTTACGACATCGATCTCTCTTAGTAGGTACCATACTGAATCCATACTTCAGTAACTTCAAGAACTCGATCTCATACTCAGAAACAGTCATGTCTCCCTGAACCAGGTCTTGAAACTGCTGACGTCTCTGAGCTAAGTAGCGCTCTCCCAGAAAATGACTCCGAAAGCGATCCTTAAAGAAATTCCAGGTCAAACGATCGGTAGGAACACTACTGGTCACTGACTCCAACCAAGTGTAGGCATTGCCATCTAACATCGCCACAGCACCCTGATATCTCTTACTTGAGTCTAAACCCAACTGATCCATGCGTCTCTCTGTATCCTGGAGCCAATCCTCAGCTTCAGTAGGAGCTCCACCAATCTGTCCCCCAAAAGTTCTAACTCCATTGGCAGTCAAAGTCTGCGAAATAGGAACCTCTGATACAACACCAGTAGCTCTGATTGCTCCTTGTATCAACTGTAGAAATTGTCTACCAAAATTCTCATCCAAAGCAACTCCGGTAGACTCTGACTCAATATCGGTCGCTCCTATGATCGGTGTAGTCATGCCAATACCAGCGGCAGGAGGCAGATTCGTTGGGGTCGTAGGAGCAGGATCACCTATCGAAGGTGGGTGATCTACCCGTATCTCATCAATCGGATCTGCAAATCTAGCCACTCGACCTCGTCCACGGCTAGTTCGACGACCATGTCTAGCACTCATTTTGATGGATCTCAAGTTTACTATAGAAGATAAAACTTAGGGTTAGATAAGAACTTGGAGTCTCGAACACAATTTAAAAATCTTAATAATTTTATGACATGGCCTTTGTAACTTGTTTTGTAAAATATTTCAAAACCATATTTTCAATATGGACTCATACACGGTCTTAGGGTTAAAAACCAAAAGCTCTAATACCAATAAATATAACCCCCTAGACCCGGCCTATACGTTTCGACTAAGTCTAGTGAATCACATACATGATTCTTAAAGACATTTTCTGAAATTGTTATTCAATCATTGTAAAATCATATTATAAATGACATGATATTATACTATCAAAACCCAACTTGTAAATATAATACCAATAAGTAATAAATTAATTTAAAACAGGTCTTCAAAATCAAAATCACAATAAACCGAACAATAATAGTAAAAGTGTCATCATCCTAAAATATGATACTTTAAAATAAGGTCCATGTCACCAAAATAAAGTCAACTAGCAAGATAAAACATTACAATCAGATATACTTCAAGAGATATGTTGATCCTCCAAGTGCTCGAACTGAGATATCTAACCAACAGTAACTGAAAGGGGGAAAACATTTTCGAAAGGTGAGCTAGGCTCAGTGTGTCCCAATATTACCTTAAAATCACAATAGGTACATCAAACAAATCATAGTCCAGTAAATCTCATAAATTCATAAAAGAGTTTAACTTTTGAAAATCATAGTTTAAACCCTTTTCTTGTACACCATCAATAGTTCCCAAAACTATTTTCCATATAGCTTACTTTAAGCACACAGCAAAAAGAAAGCCAACCTAAGGATAAGCTTTAGAGCTTGTATCCTTAGGCCCGTAAGTCCAAGTCCATATAGCTTACCCTAAGCACACAAGAAGGGAAGCCAACCTAATGTATCTTGGGGCCCCAAGAGTCACATTAGGCCCATTCTGTTTATTAGCTTGATCAGAGCTATACTATTGTAATTCAATCCAAAAGTTCAATTGCACCGTGTCACAAATTCCATAAATCATCACATTAAATTGGTGCATCAATAAAACAGTAACCAAAGAACTCAGTGTACCTCATATTAAAACCAATAAAACAGTTTAGTAATAATTAGGGAACACACCTCGATAATAGGTTCAAATAGTAGATCTACTGATTGCTAGTTTCACCACGCTCTGCTACAGTTTTCGAACCTATTTTATAATAACCCTATATTACTTATGGGTAACATAAATAAATCTCTAAAATCATAAAATTTACGGGTCTTACGGGTGAATACTGGCACACGTGGTTTAACTGATCTAGAAGAGCTGTGTCGAGCTGTCAATTGATCCGGAGAATCTCTTGTACCTTCAAACAATAATAATTTATCAGCCCCAAATCTTACTTTATTGTTCAAAGCTAAAATTCTTAAGTATATAAGTATTTTCAGGGTTTGACTATCAATTTGGAGGATTTCGAGCCTGAATTTGGTCAAACGGTTTGCGGAATCGGAATCAGAATCAAGACGTCGAAAAACATAAAGTATGACTTTTCGAAAATTTAAATTCTTGGTCAAAGTCAAAGTCAACCACTTTGACCATCGATTTGGAGGCCTTCGGGTTTGAATTTGACAAAACGGACTTCGGAAATGGATTCGGGACGTCGAAAACTATCAGAATAGGTATACTCGGAAAAGATTAACGGTCGTTTAATGGTCTGTCAAAGCCATTTTAAGTTTTGGTCAAAGGTGGTCAACGGTCAACGGTCAACTGTCAACGGTCGAGTCGGGTCAACGGTCGGGTCGGGTCGGGTCAGACCGGTTCGAACCGGTCGAAACCGGTTTGACCGGTTTTCCAGCTGCTCACTCTCCCTGCAGCGGCGCGTGTGGCGCGTGAGACCTCCTCCGGGGGTCTAAAAATTACGAAAAATTTTCCAAAAATTATTTTGAGCGATTTCGAGATACTTACAACGATCTGTTCAAATTTTTGAACGGCGGAGAGCTCGAATTTCAACTCGGCCGAATCTTTGACTACTCCACCTCCTCACGCGCCGCTGTCGACGGCGAACAAGGTTGACACCGGTGGACTCGCAACGACACAAGGAACACGATGGTGCAGGAGGTGTCGTAAACGGAGCAACGATCAGTGATGAATTTGAGATTTTCCCGGCGATCGAGCTAAATAAAACGTCGGGACTTTGACTGAAAATTCCCGACGTTTGGCAGCGTTTTGCTTCAATTAATTTGAAGGGTTTGTTTCTCGCTCGATGATGAACACAACGGTGGTTTCAAAACGACGATCGGAATTCGGACGACGTCGGGATCTAAGTCGGAAACCGGCGTAGGGGGAAGGGAATTTGGGAGTGTGGTTTTCTGTTTTTGAAACAGAAACCATACGTATATAACATATAACCCCAAACTTACCTGACTTTTTAAGGTAAATTTAGGACTTAGTCTCTAAATTTTTTTTAACTCTAAAACAAGCTCTAAGTTTTAAAATCTTTCAATTTAGTCCCCAAATTTTTGCCAATTTTCACAATTAACCTCCAATTTCAATTAAATACTATTTTGTAAATATTCGGGTTGTTACAATGTTTTAGCAGGAAAAAGTTTTGAATACTCAAATGGCATTAGTAACTGAAAATGAAATATGAAAGTAAAAAAGTGATATATATAGGCAACATCATATATCACAGTAGAGTAGAAAAATGCTCCCTTAAGATTCAGGCACAATATTTTATCTGTTGTACACTTGAACAGGTTGTCTATCTCTCTATATATATTGGCAACATTGCAAATCCCAGTACAAAAATAATAGACAAAATCACAATATATATATATATATATATATATATATATATATATAGCTATGTTCTTATAGGGGAAGGTTCATATGACCCATCCGTCGATGAAGTTGGTCTCACCAGCCATGCTTTTGGGGGCTGAAGATCCTTCAGCCTGAACGAAGTGATTGTACCTAATACAACATACAAAATCTAATCATGACTTGGAAAGCTTTCATATATATAACTTGTGATGATCTTTAACATTAAATCAAAGGTTACCCTATTTGCAAAACAGGTTCATGATCACAATCCATAGGGTGGGAGTGAGAAGAATGCAGTGTAAAGCTGATATTTTCAACTGCTGCTGCTGCACCAGAACTCCATAAACCTTGGATGGTTTTGAGGTTTTGTCCTTCTGCCTCAAGCTGAAACAGACAAAACATTAGCTTCTATATGTAATTATATATGTCAGTTACTAATACATATGAAAGTTGAAGTGCAAAAAGGATGCTTGTTGATAAAATTTTAACCTTGATTTTCAGCTGTTTGTTAAGGTCTCCAAGCTCACGCTCCTGCCAAAACATGAAAAAGCAGCTGTTAGGGAAGAGTTATGAAGCTAAATATGATGAAAAGTTCATCATGATGGGAATGATATATCATGGTAAAGTTGCATTATTATTTGGCAATAATAACACTAAAATATATTACTACACTGGCTTAAGTACACCTTTTTGCGGAGGTCTTCCATTTGTTCTATCATGATCTGTGTCTGCAGTTAAGGAAAAACATTTCTCGGTGAAGATTAAACAAGCAAATTACCACACATTTCAATCAGTTTGATGGAAATGCCAGAAAATTCACCTTCCTTTGTCTAGCCACTGCAAGAGCTCCTTCAAGCTGTTTCTCAAGGTTTTGCAGCTCTTTAACATTCAATGGTCCAAGTTCCTCTCCAAGCAAATGCCTGATATAATCATATAAACATATATTTTTTCAACTAGAAAAACAACAGAAACTTCTTCTTCTTCTTTTTTTTTTTTTAGAAATAAGATGTTTTTTGCTAAAATGGTGATTAGAAAAAACTGCATAACCTTTGAGTGCGTTGCAGTGCTTCATATTTTGCCTTCAACTTGGTTACCTCTTGGTACCAACTCTGTAGCAAATGAAAGTCAAGCTCACTAATATTTGCAGTATGTAAAAGAAATTGTAGTGAAAAAAAGAACCTGTGTTTCGCGTTCAAGGCTGTTGTCCTGAGGAGTAACGCAGCAACGCTGGTATCGCTCAAGGGTCTTGGTCATACTGCAAAAATGAAACTATACGAAGTTACTATATAAACCCTATATCACATCTTAATTTTCAAGATCAACCACTATGTAAACATAGTGATAAATAAATTACAAGTGTAAAAGTGATATGCTTCATATCATTGCAGGTGAAAAAGAAAAAGAAAAAGTACTAGACTACTAGTAGAACATTGGTTAAAACTTAAAACCAGAAGATCAAAGAATTAAAAGACATGAAGGCAAAGAGTCATTCAGGTTTCTCCACTGACCAGTCACTACTAGTTCATGCTTCTCTTTTTGGTTTTATCTGTAGAGTGAAAATAAAAGGAAAGGAAGAAAAGAAAAGAAAAGCAAAACCCTAGATCTTGCAAAGAGACTCGGAGGTCATAAGGCAAAAACCTAGTCTTTTGATTGGATTCTGAGAACAAAGTCATCATTATTCTTATTCATACTGGTTTTTTTTTTCTTTTTCTTTTTACTTCTTTCAGGAGGAAGAAAAAGTCACCTTCGTACTAGTAATTCAACACTGATCAGTGAAGACATATCAGTTCACAAGCAGCTGAAGACCCGGTTAAACTTAAGACATAAAAGAGAGATAAAGGATGTTCTTTTTTTTTCCCTTCTGGAAATGAGACGAAACGTGTCGATCTTTCATTGGGAAAAAACTGGTAAACCCAGGGTTTCCCATAAATGATCCAAAAGCCAAGGAAGATCGTAAGAAGCCATAAAAAAAAGTATAGATTTTATCGTGTGTTTGAAGAAGCATTGTTTTGCAGTTAAGTTGGAGATAAAAACTTGAGAGAGTCAAAAGAAAAACCAGATTTTTATGGAGTTTTACACAGAAATGGAAGTACAACGATGACAAAAAACATCATATACATGCATAATAAACAAAATAGAAATGAAAAAACAAAATAGAAACACACATATACGCGTAGCCTACCCTGAACTGCCAAACTCATAGAGCTTGCCACGGCTGGAGAAGACAATAAGGGCAACCTCAGCATCACAAAGCACAGAAAGCTCATAAGCTTTCTTCAGCAAACCATTTCTTCTCTTGGAGAAGGTCACTTGTCTGTTGATTTTGTTCTCTATCCTCTTCAGCTCCACTCTTCCTCTCCCCATCTCTCTCTCTCTCTCTCTCTCTCTCTTTTCTCTTGAAATTTCTAACTTTTAGAACAATGAGTAGTGCCTGAGTTCTTCTAGAGGTGGGGTTTCGTTGTTATACAGAAATGGAGGTTGAAGAAGATAAAATTTAAGGGTATACTAAATAATTGCTTTGGTTTGGTCCGAGAGAAGTGAAAGTTTAAAATGGTATAAAAATATAAAAATAGATATGTGGAGCAGGAAGCTTACTGGATCTTCTTTTTGCAATAAAATGGAAATCCCATTATATTTCTTCCTTTCTCTTTATTCTCTTTTCAGTTTTAGTTTTTCTTAGCATTTCTGTATTTTCTTTTTCTTGGTCTACGTGACTCTCTTCATTTTTCCATGATCGATAGAGTAAACTGAGTTTTATTTTATTCGAATTCGACTTAAATATGTTTATTTAAATAGGTTTAATATAATTTTTTTTAATTCTCTCACTTTATTGTAGTATAAACAAAGATTCTCCTCGTCTCAATTGCCACAAAAGAATTTATAAGTGAATAAAGATCAATACGAGCATTGAGACTCAAACTCTATATTGTTATTTTTCTCTTAAATATTATTCTCCTCAGCCTTGATCGTCTAAGGAAGAAGGTCGACTTAGACTCACAACTCTTATTTTGGTGCCTCGTGTGATAGATTCAAGTTCAATCCTTTAGCAGTTCCAGTTGTAACAAATATAAAAAAATCCTTAGAAAAATCTAGCTTTTAAATTTTATATTTAATCCATTTGCTAAAATAATTATAAATATGATTAACCTATTTAAGAAAATCATACAATCATTCAAATATGATAATAAAATCATAAAAAATATAAATATTTTGAATATTTTAACAAAATATATACATTTTTATTTTTACATATTCTTTTTGCATTTTTTTACTTTTAAAAGAATTTAGAATATTCAAAAACTATTAAATGCAGAAAAACATTAATATATCTAAAATAAACTTATATGATTTAAGTATTTATGTTTTGGAGTTATATTTTTTTCCAAAATTTTAATTTATGTTTAATTTATTTTAAATTTTTTTAAAATCCATGAAAACGTATAAAATTAAAAAATCATTAATTTTTTTTAAAAAAAAGTCTTAGAAATAGGAAAAACTTCTGAATTTTTAAAAATACATGTTTCATTTGCTTATAGTTGTAGTAAGATGACTATTTTGTCCAGACGTATGATATCCGGAATTGCAGCTACGAATTAAGAGTTCTCTTTTATTTTATCTTTTCCGATAGTTTAGAGAGAATAATATTTTTTATTTTTTTGGTTACAATAATTTTCTTTATTGAAATCGTTTGAAGGGTTTAAAAATTTTCTTTTAAAAAATTAAAGTGTGGAAAAAATTATGTTATTTGTTAATAAATATATTTAACGTTAACTTTTAATAAATTATATATCATATCTTTATTCGTAAATAATAATAAACTATAGATTATATCTCGACAATTTCAATTTTCCGAAAAATAATTGTGTAACAACCTGGAAAATTGGGAAAAAAAATTTTAATTAAGTAATTTTGCGGAAATTGAGAATTAAATTGAAAGTTTTTAAAATTTGTAGCCTGTTTTAGAGTTAAAAAAAATTCAGGGACTAAGCCCTGAATTTACCCTTATAATGTCGGCAGAAATTTGGTTATATATGCATGTTACATAAACCAATTGCTCAAATTACCTTCCCAACGCCAACTTCCAAACTCGATTCCGACGCCGTCCGACTTTCGATCGTCGTTTTGAAACCACCATCGTGTTCGTCATTGAGTGATGAACAAAACCATAAAATCAATTGAAGTAAAACGCTGTCAAACGCCGGGAATTTCAAGTCAAAGTCTTAACTTTTTTTAACACCACCGTCGAGAAAATCTTAAATTCATCGTCGATCGTTGTTCTGTTTTCGACACCTCCCGCACCATCGTGATCCTTGTGTCGTTTCGAGTTCTTCGGTGTCCTCATTGTCTCCGGAGGCGGATGCGCGTGAGGAGGTGAAGTGGTCAAAATTTCGGATTTGTTAAAATCGAGCTATCCACCATTCAAAATTGTGAACCGAGCTTTGTAAGTGCCTCAAAATCGGTCAAAATAATTTTTAGAATTTTTTTTGTAATTTTTACGACGCCGGAGAATGTTTCACGCGCCCCCACGCGCCGCCACTGAGCGTGGGGAAGTCTCGGCCGCTGCTTGAAAACCGGTTTGACTGGTTTGCCGGTCTGAACCGGTTCAACATGACCCGACCGTTGACCGTTAACTTGGGTGCTAGTTTTGTAAATATTTTAAAAAGGGTGCCTCATCTGTAATTAATTATTGTTAGGTGATATTTATGTAAAACCTCGGGTGTTAGTTTCGTAAATATTTTTAAAAGGGTGTTAGTTTTATAATTAATTTTTGTTAGGGTGATAATTGTGTAAAACAGTTGACCGTCGTTGACCTCCTTTGACTAGAACTTTGACCGGCGTTGACCAGCCATTAAACGACCGTTTAGTTTTTTCGAGTATACCTATCATGACATTTTTCGACGTTCATAATTCGTTTTTTGGGACTGTTTTTTCAAATTCGAACCTGAAAGCCTCCAAATCGTCAGTCAAACCCGTTGACTTTGACAAAAAATTCAAATTTTCGAAAGGTCATAGTTAATGTTTTTCGACGTCCTGAATCTGATTCCGAAGTTTGTTTTTCCAAATTCTGACCCGAAATCCCTGAATCGAGCTTATTAACCCAAAAATGCTTAGTATTTTAGCATTTTGATTATTTAATTAAGATATGGTTATGAAATTGATTCAGTAAGATATTTTATGAAGGTACTCGTGTTTCACCTGAGAGAGGATCAGTTAGGTCTGGTGTTGTCCGTTCGGTTCATCATATCAGTCCGAACCGCGTACTACGAGAATTACTCGTAGGTTTTCATAAATTATTTAAATAAAGATTAAGATTATTTATCTTAGGATTCCAATATGGATTTTTCTAATTCGTAGGATATAGCGCTGCAGCAGAGCATGATCGACAGACCCAGTAGTAGGCTTCCCTATCCGATTTCTTAGACTGTTACAGGTGTGCTTCCTGACGGTGTTATTTTACTGTTTTAAACTATCATCTAAATTGTTTCAAATTGGTGATACTATTGAATATTATTACGACATGATACCTGATTTCTTAATACCGATTACCCAACATTTGATTTATCGAATATTACTGATCTGATTTATGGTTCCGAAATTTCTGTACATGACTTTCAAGCATGAAACATTTTCATGTTTTAATGGATTAATCATCATTTTCACTTGAATACATACATGTTTATTACTGTCATTGGGGGGAATAATGTTGGAAGAAGTATACCTAGAGGCTCCTCGGTTTTGTGCTCAGGACTTTATTGGCTCCTCGGCTGTGTGCTCAGGGCCTTACTGGACTTGACGGTGGGTGTATGGTTCTGGGGTACCTACACATTTTGGACTTGACGGATGGGGGTAGTGTTCATATTTTTAAAACATATTTGATAACTGATTTTACTGGAATATTTTATTAGTATGTTTTCATACACTGTATGGAGCATACTGGCTTTTTAGCTCATTCTGTAAATTTTACCCTTTCAGATAACAGCAGACCGTGATCTAGCAGATTTGGCATCAGGGGAGATCAACTACTTTTACTTTGTATGAACGTATATCTCTATATATTTCCAGTTGTATTTGGTGACATGTATTTTGTTATCGTTTTGGATATATTCGTACTATCGATATTTTGTTCCGTATTACCTCTAATGTTTTATAAGTTGTTTTAAATATAAAAAGAATATATGAATGAGACATGTGACTGCTAGGGTTTGGATCTAACGTTCAGACCGGGTCTAGGGGTTACAAATTGGAAGTGTGAATGCTAATGAGTACATAATTGAGTGCATTAGGGGGCCTAATAGTATACAATTTTGGAAAGAAGCAAGGACCGGGGCAAAAGAGAGATAAAAAATATACAATTTTGACATGTGCAATTCTTGGAGTATTGTTTTGTAGGCACAAGCAGCCTGGGGAAAATGTCTCTCTAGTTCCTGTTTACTTAGTTCATAATCAGTTAATCATACTGTTATTATGTACATAGTTTCATATTTATTCATTTTTTCTAATACAGTGAAAGAAGATTAGTTATCTTATAAATCTAATTAAAGTAACACGTTAATTAAAATTAGAAAGAAATTAAATACGGTTTCGTCACTTGGGTCATTACGTTTATTAGATGGAGTAGCAAGAAAAACATGTTTAAGTATTTGGTTATTTGTCTAAGTCATAAGGTTTATAAAAAATTAGTAAGATTTATAAAGAATATTAGGCTCAAAAAATATACTTATATAAAAATAAACTCATTTAAAATATGGATCAGACTCAAACTTTAATATTTGTAATATAATTTATATCATGTAAAAATTAAATTTACAATAATATGTAATAATATATCGTAAGTACTAAAATTTGATCAAGTTGCTCATATATAAAAGAGTAACAAATATTTTTAATAAAATTAAAAAGCATATAAAATCATTCAATATTGTATAAAATAGATTAAATGTTTTTAGAAATTATAAAATAACATGTACAGATAGAAAACGAGTTTGAGTTGCCCATTTATTAATCTTATGCATAAGATCAATCTAGGGATGGGCATGGGACCCGAACTTGAAGGGTTCCGACCCGATCCAGTTTTTTTTAAAAAAAGAATTGAGTTCGGATTAGGTCGAGTTTTTTAAATGTGATGTTCGGGTCGGGTCGAGTTTGGGTTTAGGGTGAAAATTACCCGACCCCCAAAATATATAATCTTACTTTATATATTTATGAATAATTACAATAATACCCCTCTATATATATATTTTTTTCAATTAAGTCATTGTTTTTATCGAATAAAAATAATATTTTTATTATTATTTCGGGTCGGGTCGGGTTAAGTTTTTAAGTTATATATCGGGTCGGGTTTGGGTCGGGTGAACTCTTGTTTTGGTCGGGTCGGATTTCGAGTGGAGGATTCTTTGTTCTCGGGTGGGGTGGACCAAAAAATATCCGACCCAACCCGACCCATTCCCATCCCTAGTTCAATATGACCTATGAATAGTTGAATGCCTCTAGTAGAAAGGAGCTTGATGTCCATTAAGCAAAATTTCAAGTGTTGGGAATAATAAGACAAAGTAAAAAAATCATTTTCGTATAAGAAATTAATTAAATCAATTTTAAATATAGTCGGAGTTCATATATCCTACTAGATAAAAGGAGATTGATATGATATCGATTATGAGTTTTGAGTCATATATATGATTGTTCGATCGTGATTCTAGTAAGAGATTGAATTGCAAGCTTGATGTAAACATACTCTCCATGGCTGTTTGAAACTCTTTAACCCTTGCTCGTGTGATGGGGCCACTTGGGTATTTCTCTGAGTCTTTGATATCAGCGATCATATCAGAGATGTTAAACGTTATAATATTATGTTTGATTGATGATAAACAAGCATGAGTTGGTTCCATGATGCCATAAAAGGGACAACCATCTAGCACCGGCAGTTGCTATAATACGGTAAATTCCTTTGTTGCTATAGCTGTTTCCTTGATTGGGAAATAATAGTAGCTTACAAGTTTTAACCTGTAACAAATTGAGTGGCAAACGGCATAGTTTTGTTTTGCTTTTGTTGTTTCCCGAGTTTGCTGTTGCATCCTCCACTCTGTATGGGTTTCAGAATGGGAAATATTGTATTTTAGGAAATGGAGAAAATGACAGACTGGGAGAACCCTTGTTCCTTTTATGCACATAAGTAAAGCACAAGATATTTGTCAGGTTTTTATCATCCCTAATAATCCAGACTTGTATTAATAAAGACGGTTGATGGATTCCCATGTTGTAGCAGTTAAACAATATCTGTTTTTACACAACCCTCGGCCTACCTCTACAATAATTGATGGACTTGTTTGGTTCAATAATGGAGTTTGGTGCTATGATTAGTTATTATTATTATTATTGATGGTGGATGTCTTAATTTCCATAAAATAAGAATGTAAACTTAGTAAATATCAGTTTATGATATAATTCTATTAGGTTAATATTGGAATAATTTTTTCATGTTTGTATAAGTTAGGGATAACGTCAGGTTGAATTGAGTCGGATTTTTTTATCAATTTGATTGTGACTCGAGTAACATATTCCTCTATTTGATATTTTATTTGATATGGGTTTCTGAATAAAAATTCATTTCTAACTCGATCTAACATAATTTTTTATTCAAAAAATAAAGAGATAATTGAACAAATAAAAAAAAAGACATTATATTAATTATCCCTAAATATATAGAGGGAAAATATAGAGTATTATCCCTAGTTGAGTCAAGTCAAAATAATTTCATCCTAAATCGAAACTTGACTCATCCTGACTTTATCCTTCATAAAATTTTATTGGATCTGAACTAAAAATTCAAAAAAATGACTTAATTATCTCTATCAACCATAATGTTATTATAATTTTTTTAATGATCATAAGTTTTTCAAATTTGACTGCAAGTAATTTTATTTTTTACTTTAGCAGTACATTGTAATTACAAAAGTAAAGCTAACATCCACTAATTTTTGATGAGATATATTAATTATTTTAAATATATAAAATATAATGTCAAAATCAAATGATTCATATGTGGTGTAATTTGACCTAAGAATTGAATAACCCAAGCCTAATCATTCGGAAATTCTTAGAAACGTGAAAGTTATCAAATGGATTTAATTGGAAATAATTTTAACAATTTCAAGTTATGATTTGGGTATTGCATAAAGCAACCAGTTTGCTTCATTTGCAAACGCCAGGATTCGAATCTGTGACCTTGCTTAAGAGACCTAGTGCCTTATCCCACTAAATCAACTGATTGTTGGTGATTTTTCTAAAATAATTGTAATTATAATTATATGAGTCGATAAGATAGTTTAATTCATTCATTTAAATGAATGAGGATTTTGTAATAAAATGTGCCAATCCATAAGTTATATTGATACGAATCATTAAACATTCCTTTTATATAAATATTTCCCCATTTTTGTTTATGAACCAAACTTGCTAAAATACAATTAATAGAATTAGCGTGGCAATGTACATATGAAAACCCCTAATAAAGAAACACATCCCTATCAGTACAAAGAGGGTGACACGGTTGAGTGAAATAAAAAAAGAATACTAAAGAATAGTAATTTCCCCCTAGTGGCAAAGACAGCGACAGACTGGTGGGAATACCGAATACTCTCTTTCATCGGAGCTCTGTAATGCATGAATACGACTGTGGTGGTAGTGGGTAGAAAAGGTTACCGTTTGTGGAATGCTTTGATTGTTGGGACAAAGCTTTTTTAATGCACACGTTTCCATTTTTGGTTATGGCCCTTCACCATCAGCTGAGCTTTCAGTTCTTGCCACTAAAGAATGCTGTGTCTCACCGTCCTTTGGGGGGTGGAGATGGAACAAATAGTACGTACTCCAATAGAGACTCTTTTTTTCTATTGACAATTTGATTACTCAAATCATATTAATTTTAAATGAGATTATTTACACCTCTCAAGGATGATTAATTCATTCGGTGATAAAAGAGAGCGTTATTTTATTAGAGGATTTAGGTTCGAGCATCTATATTTGTATGTTGTAAGAAATTAAGAGAATTCGAACGAATAGTCTTGTAATTACTCTATCATGCTAAACGAACTGATAGGTAATTGATTTTATTTTTCTTATACCATACTTAATATAATTTCGTTACATTGTAAATTTCTTTGTTTTCAAATGGCCTAACCTAAAAAGTTTATTGTAAAATGCCTTAAATTGAGTTATTAATTGTAATGAGCTAAAAGTACAATTTTTATGAATTAAAGGATTATATTGAACTAACTAATTTCTAACGGGACTAGAATTAAATTTTACCATTAATACTAAGGGAGACGAGGCGGATGAACAAGTTTGTCTCGAGAACATTTTGAATTAGATCTAACTTCTAACCCCAAAAAAAGAAAAATTGCACTAGTTTTGCTCTGTTTTAAGGGAGGATTCTAGCCCTAAGATTTTCATTTGTTTTATAATAGAAATTAACCATGTTTAATAATTTATAAACTATTTGGTTATTTGTCATTCACTATTGATATCTTATGATTACATTAATTTCGATTATATATCAAGTCAAATTACGTTTAATCATTAAACGAAGAAATATATATATATATATATATATGTATCAAATTTAAAATCTGACAACAAATTTCTTCCAATTGAACCGAAGAAGCATCGGTTGTAATTTGTAATAGTTTATATCATGGAAAGAAAGCTTGAAACTTGGGGATGGGGTGAGTAGCTATATTATTGGTTTTGGGCGGACGGAAGTTCTTACTCTGGAATGGGCTACTAAAGCAATGCAGGGTTGGATCGAGTGGACCAAAATGATAGCAAAAGTAAAGTGAGTTTCTCCCAATTGAGCCCAAATCCGAGTTACCTTACACATATACCACCATCAGCTAAAAAATGTCGAGGTCAAGGGACCTTTAAGCGCGGCTGTGCTTTTTCGAAGCTGGAACTGGGAAGAACAAACTGCGAATAGAAACTTCTGGATAGATAGAGAGAGGGGAGAAAGATGGCGGGAGCAGCAGAGGTACAAAAGCGGCCGGGCGGGAGACCATTCCCACCATCGGCGAGAGGTCCGCCTCCGCCCCCTCGCCCTCGCTTTGAGCCTGTTGATCGCGAAAAGGTACCCCTCTCTGTTTTTTTTCTGTTTCTATATCCCTAAATAATTGGAATTCTAGGGTTTCAGAGCTCTTAATCTACGTATTCTTAATTTGGGAATCGCAAATCTGTGATTGTTGCATAGGGATTGTACTGTTAACTTAATTATCTTTCAATGCTTAACTGCTCAGCTTGACTAAATATTTTTTGGTTTTAATTATGTGTCACTCATTAAGCCTCATCTTTAGGGTTATGATCATTTTTTTCCTTCTGGCATGCAGACTTGTCCTCTCTTGCTTCGAGTTTTCACTAAGGTATGTTACTTTATTTTCATAGCTTAATAAGTCGATTACATGCTCAAGCTGCTATGGTCTTGGGATGCGTTTTTTGATCTTGTAGTGTCAATTTGTCATTACCTTTGCTATCTTGGGTAAAACCTGCAAATCATTTTGGATTTTCCCATCACTTTGATTGTTCTTTGAGCCATAGAAACCAACATTGTTGTCAGCGAAGTTGGTTTATGGAGTATATTTGAAATCTTACCTTCGGTATCAATATTAGGAACGTTAAAATTACATTTATAGAGCAAGCTATCTGCAGGACACTTGGTGAAGTTTTTCTTTCCTGCGAAGATGCTCTTGGCAAGAGCTGTAGCATGCAAGAGATTTAGGCATGTAATAGAAGGAGCTTCCTCTTCAAGCCGTATTTCCCATTATGTTTTTGTCCAGATGCAATGTTTGTTTGTTTTTTTACATATTGAAAGTTCTTCAAACTTATGCTAACTCATTGGTAAATCCACAGATTGGTGGTCATCATTCTAAAGAAGATTTTGCGGTGAGAGGCAAGGAGCCCAAGGATGAGGTTCAGATTTATACTTGGAAAGATGCTACACTTCGCGAGTTGACTGATCTGGTATGCCAATAATGTTAATGTAGTTTGTTAAACTGCCTGTCTTGTATCAATTTTATTGGTAGTTTTGTCTTCAACATTCTCTTATTTATTCATCAGTCTTTCCACTTTCGACCCTGTTGATTCTACTTCTTCTACAGGTGAAGGAGGTAGCTCCTGCAGCAAGGAGAAGAGATGCAAGACTGTCCTTTGCATTTGTATATCCTGACAAGAATGGCCGTTTTGTGGTGAGAGAGGTTAGTTTTTTTTCTCTTCTCCATAATTTTGACTCCTTCCATATCCTGACAAGAATGGTCTTATGATTAATAACATTGTGAGATTAATTTGTATCTTGGCTTTAGACACCTTGCGAGGCCAAAGTCTGTCAGATTAATAACACATTAGTAATGACTCGTTTGCATTATATATTAAAAGTTATGAACTTATGATGAGATGAATGGAATTTCAACGTGGAGAGATGCCTTTATGAATATGGTGTAGTTTAGTGCATATATTGTGTAGTTGATACATGAATTGTTGCTGTGAAAAATGTTTGGATTATGATGTATTTTATTTCTTCATCAGGTGGGTAAGACCTTTTCTTATGGCAATGGGAGGCGATTAGATGACAGCAAAACTTTAAATGAACTTAGATTCGAGGTAGGTCAAATCTCCCTTGCAGCAGCATCATTCACTCTCTTACCGATGCTCAAGCTTTGTCATTAATCATTTCGATGACGAAATGCAGATTGGAGATTACTTAGACGTGGCTATAATGTCAGCCGAGCTCTCTAATCTCCGATAAGTGACATGGGAATGGGAATGGGAAGTGGTGCAGTGCCATTACCCCCATTAATTTATCCTACTATGTTAGGAAATCATCAAGAAGATGCTAGTACTGTATGATTCGAGTTCGTAAAATGTTGGAAAAAGGAGTGGTGCTTGTATGGAACCCGTTCATGTTATGTCCTTTGTAAAATTTTAGTATTGTTGCTTCAGATTTTTGGGTAGCTTTTTAAAACCTTTATGGCAGTATGGAAATGTCAGAACCTGTTGCAACTATTTAAGCTTTATTGTTATTGAGATGGTGTCTTCCTGCCTAGTGTGGATGGCAATTTGAATTGTGGATTTGGATATCTAATTTGTTTTTTTGGCAGGTTGGAATACTACAAATTCAGTTAATATTTAGGTTTAAATGTTAAAATTCCTACCTAGGCATCTTAAATATTCATCACTTGTGTAGGTACAGATTTGGATATCAACGTCCAACTCTAGATTATATAAAGAATATATTTACTTGTAATGAGATTTGGATCTTGAAATTTTAGTAAATCTCAATTTAATTTTTTTGTGGATTTATATATTTGATACATGATCTAAATGTAAGTCTTTTGCATATTTGTTGTTAAGTGAATAATAATAATTAATTGAGATTCGTATAGTAATACTTGAATGATTTATTAATGAAAATAATCCAGATTTTAAGATGAATTTACATATTAAAAATTAAATCCGTAAATGATTAATACTGATAAAAGTACAGTATACATGTATTTATCATATATTTAAAAATTCAAGTAGATTGGGTAGACTATCAATTTAGGTATTAAAAAATTAAAGCTTAATCTGGTTCTTTGGTAGTTGAAACTCAAACTAAAACCCAATAATTAATAGGCGAGACTCACTCGAGCATTCATAGAGTCAAATCATTTACTAGTAAATTGGCTCCCACGCTCAAAACTACCGACTTTTATTTCACAATTAACGTTAATTCGAACAATAAAAAATTGTTAGAGGGAAAATACAAATAAGCAGTTGGGTTGGTTGCGTTGAAAACGACATCGTATGCGTTGGTTACAACTTACAAAACCTGGAAAATGTGATTACAAGTAAGATAGTAATAATAATAATTTTACAACAATAATCCGCAAATGTATATCATCTCTCTCCCCCAGGAAGGGATGATGTGAAGGATAAAAAGAGAAAAGAAAAAGCCGGAAACCTGGGTGGTGGTTGAAGATCATCTGTTCATGGTTTCATCTCCTGAATTCGGTCTATTGTTTGCTTAGGCAATCATATTAACACATTCTTTTCCAGAATTTTAATTTCTTAGCCTTTTGATAAATATTTTTTTGTTAAAAAGCTCTACTCCACTGCGACTCTTCCCTTTCTCTACACGCTAAGCAGTTGTAATCCTTTTTAACTAATGAAAAACATTTGATTAGCACTGTAGTGTTGTTCTTGCTTTACTATGGATTTCCACTATTACTAGCTTTGCTACGGATCTGCTGATTGTTCATTGTTTCACGAGATCTCTTCACTGTTAACTCGTAATTATCCTTTCACTTTTTTTATTCTGATTTTTCTTTTCTTTTTTGTTTTTTTTCTCACTGATTTATTTTTTGTTGTTCTCGGGCTTTGATAGACAATGGCGTTGAGGCGGGGACTATCGAGTTCAAGTGTGGCTGTACAAAGGAACAGAAGTTCTAGATCTCGATTGCCTATTGCCATTCTTGTTTTCTTCTCAGTTCTCGCGCCACTTGTCTTCTTTGTCGGTCGAGGGCTTTGTATTTCTGGTTCGTTATGTTTCCTACTTCCCCGTCCCGTATTTTAAGCAGCAATTAGCAGATCTCACGTCGCCTTTGATGTCATTTTCACTCCGATAGAAATTGGAATGTGCCTTTCTTTTTTAAATTGATTCTGAGCTTTCGTTAGTGATCTACAACATTTTGTTTGACTTCTGATCTGACTAGAAAATTTTAAAATCAAATTGTCCGACTTCAGTTACTCGACATTTGTCGGTGATTGTGGTGTTTCTAGGAACTTTCAATTTTAACTAAAATTTTTGCTTCACTTCAATCAACATTTTTGTAATAATTGGACTTTTAAGATAAAAACCCTGCTGATTTTCTGTTGAACAAAAATTCTTCAACCAACGAGCATAGCTAAAGTTTGTTCTATTGCTTTGTGATTCTAAAATTGAGATATGAGTTCAAGTGTGTCCTTATCTATTTGGCTTCTTAACTTTTCAATTTTGCAACCGGTTTGGTGTTTTCTACTTGATTTTAACTGATCTTGTACCAAATATTGTTTCTTGTGCAGATCAAAATGGTTCCCAAAGTGGTTTTAGCGAACAGGTTGCTTATTTAAATGCTTTTCCATTTACATTAATTATATATCTTGGATTACAAACTTGACGGTGTACTCTTTTGATTTCAAATGGTTGAGTTTTGCAGACTGTTTATTGGAGAGAAAGGTCAGCTCGTCAATCTGTCAAAAACCTTTTCACTAAGGAGGTACATGAATGCTGGAGAATAATCCATATGAGTTAATCGTGTTTCTTGCTTTGACAAGTGTTGGATTTTAACTGTCTATTATATGATGCCACACTTAAATCAATTTTAGGTTATTGATGTTGTAACTACAAGCATGGCTGATTTGGGGCCACCGAGTCTTGATTCTTTTAGAAAAGGCAATTTGTCTGCTTCGTGGAAAGTTGTTGGGGTGGAGACTTCGGTTGAGGATAATGCTGTTTCAAAGGTTAGAGTAATAGTTATGTTGTACCTTACCAGTCACATGTATTGGACGCTTTCTTGTTTTTTACAGCCTTTTTCTATGAATCGCTTTCCAAATTTAGTTACTGATTGGTTGATGTTTATTAGATTCTCTCATCTTCAAACCAAAAGGCTACTGACTTGAAACAAGAAACGTCTCAAGATAAAGTGGGAAATTTTCTAGATGGTAACTTATTCTCTGTTAAATGTATTCTGTTAAATGTATGCATAATGTGCTTGTTAAAATTTTGATCATGCTGAGCTGCCCGTTCCATGCAGATGATCATACACACGATACACCTGCTAAAATACTTCGAAGGGTAATTCTATCTTTGATGCATCGTGTGCTTTAGTATTATAAAGAATTTTATGATAAATGTGCTTTTTACTCGCATTGCAGCAACTTAGGGATGATAGGCGTGAGTGGCAAGCTGCTGAATTGGTGCAACAAGACGAGAAAGCTACTGTTACACTTGAAAATGCTGCCATTCAACGATCCAAAGCTGTGGACTCTGCAGTTCTGGGCAAATACAATATATGGAGGAGAGAAAATGAGAATGATAAGTCTGATTCCACAGTGCGCTTGATGAGAGATCAAATTATAATGGCTAGTGTTTATGTAAGTATAGCAAAGATGAAAAATAAGCTTGACTTGCAACAAGAACTGCAGATCAAGCTGAAAGAGATACAACATGACTTAGGAGTGTCAACATCTGATTCTGATCTGCCTCATAGGTAAAAGGATATTGGATCTTTAATTTCATTGACTCTGTGATGCTGTATATGTTTCCTCTTGTTTTGTTCCTGTTGATTATGGCAGTTTATAATTTTGTGTTTTCATGCAACTTTGTTTAGTGCACCTGAGAAAATTAAAGCAATGGGTAAAATTCTATCCAAAGCAAGAGAACAACTGTATGATTGCAAGTCAGTTAATGGAAAGCTCAGAGAAATGCTTCAGGCATCAGACGAACAAGTTAGGAGATTGAAAAAACAGAGCACGTTCCTGAGTCAAATAGCTGCCAAAACAATTCCCTATGCAATCCATTGCTTGTCGATGCGTTTGACCATAGAATACTATCTCCTCCCCCTAGAGAAGAGAAAGTTCCCTAGAAGTGAGAATTTGGAAAATCCTAATCTCTACCATTATGCTCTCTTCTCTGATAATGTCTTGGCTGCATCAGTTGTTGTCAATTCAACTATCATGAATGCCAAGGTGATATAAACTGCCTTATTTTGCATAACGACTTAGATTACTCTTCCGTTTGCACTTCTAGAATTGGAATTGATTATTAGAACTTTTTTTTTGGGCTTAGAAATTGAGCCTCATGTACTTTCTTGACTATGTTTTCTTCTTGGTGGTATGACAGGATCCTTCAAAACATGTTTTCCATCTTGTTACCGATAAACTTAACTTTGGAGCAATGAACATGTGGTTTCTGTTGAATCCCCCTGGAAAAGCCACCATTCATGTTGAAAATGTTGATGAATTCAAGTGGCTTAATTCATCCTATTGCCCTGTCCTACGCCAGCTTGAGTCTGTTTCAATGAAGGAGTATTATTTCAAGGCAGATCATCCAACCATATCTGGATCTTCAAACTTGAAGTATCGAAACCCGAAGTATCTCTCAATGCTTAATCACTTGCGGTTCTATCTGCCCCAGGTTTACCCCAAGTTAGATAAGATCCTCTTTCTTGATGACGACATTGTTGTCCAGAAAGACTTGACTGGATTATGGTCTGTGGATCTCCATGGAAAGGTGAATGGTGCGGTAGAAACTTGTGGTCAAAGCTTTCATCGTTTTGACAAGTATCTAAACTTCTCCAATCATCATATTTCACAAAACTTTGACCCTAATGCTTGTGGTTGGGCATATGGAATGAATATGTTTGATCTCAAGGAGTGGAAAAAAAAGGATATCACTGGCATATACCACAAGTGGCAAAATATGGTAAGTCTATGAACAACCATATTTTTGGTTTCACACACACACACACACACACACACACACACGCCTTCATGCATTCATACAGAAACGGATTCTGGTTGAAGGGTCAAATCCACTGTTTTCCAATCATCATATTATATTGTACCAGATATGTATTTAGTCATATATTCTAAGTGATTGTATTATAGTTAATTATTACTATTAATGCTTAGATGCTGAATGGTGCTCGAGATCACTGGTAACACCAAGAAGACCTAGGATGATTGATGTATTTTGCATTTTCCTTGCCTTTTTCCAGAATGAAGATAGAGCATTATGGAAGCTTGGGACACTTCCTCCGGGGTTGATCACATTTTATGGTCTAACACATCCTCTCGAGAAGTCATGGCATGTACTTGGTCTCGGCTACAATCCAAGTGTAGACAAGAGAGAAATCGAACATGCAGCAGTTGTTCACTACAATGGCAACATGAAACCATGGCTGGATTTGGCTATGACAAAATATCGACCTTACTGGACCAAGTACGTCAAGTATGATCATCCCTACCTTCGCAACTGTAACTTCAGTGAATGAAGGTGATTAGGTGTGGCATTATGTTTTTCTACTTTTTCTTCTCGCTCTCTATTCCACATTGTTTATTCTTCTTTGTATTTCATTAAATTCATTCCTTAAGTGCTCATCCCATTTGAACGGGTTAATGAATTGTATGCAATGTTGACCTTTTAAGACACCCTTGATTTTTCCATTTAGACAAGATTAGGCGAGTCTTATATGAAACCTGAGTCCACTGTATTTTTTGAACAATTGGCTCCCTTTATTTTAGTATTGTTATTAGTGTTTATATCCCCTGTAAAGACTCAATTCTTGCTTTGATAAATCATGTTCGAGGTTTGTCCCTCAACAATTATGTGTCTTAAGGTTCGAACTTGAATTATCTCATTAAAGGTATAATGTGTTTTACGACACCCAAAACTGGTAGATCTTTACTTTGTTCAACGGATCTTCGTTTCTTGTACGACTGTTTGGGCCTATATCATACCTTTTGGTGGGTGTGTCCTAAAGGTTTTCAGTTATTATATCATTCTATTTTACACGCTCCATAAATATCGCAATTAAAAACAACTCTTCTCCTAGTGGCCAAATTGCTCCATAAATACTAATGTAATCTGTTTTATATTTTTTTTTATAAAATAACAATAATCATTTTTTTCTTCAGAAGTATTATCAGTCCTTGAAAGGTACAATTACCTTAACATATTTACTCAAATCCAACTCTCAGTAGACATCGACACTCTCTTCTTAACAGGGTATTATCAGTCCTTAAAATCACATTTTAACTAAACATTATTTGCTAGGAATTTGATGTTAACAACCTTATTAACGTTTTTAACAAATTAAAAAATATTTATCATTTATTATAAATACGTATTCTTGTATTGATTATCCTTTTCATTTGGGTGCGTTTGGTTCACAGAATGTAAGATTACCAATGGGAATAAAAGATTACCAGGGAATAAGATTACTGGGAATGTTGTATTTTGTGTTTGGTTGGTTTAGCAGGAATGTAAGATTACCGTGCTTGGTTAAATGAATAAAATATTATTGGAATTTATATTTGATCAAATTGTCCTTATTATATATTTGTTTTTTAACAAGTTGAATTCTACTATAATATTACTATAAGATATTTATATATTTTCTTTAAAAAAATTAAATTCATATAATTTTTTTACAAAATTGAAAATATAAAAAGGTTTAATGAAAAGGTACAATTTTATTTTAACCCCTGAACTTCATATAAAATTTTAATTATAGACTTTTTTTGTAAATCTAAAATATTTTAAGGATAAATTTGTAATTTAACCTTCGTAGAATTTTTATTATTCAATGACAGAAGAAGGATATTTTTGGAAAAAAATTTAAGGGCATTTTAATCCAAAATACCGATAATCCAACAATACCTAAGGGAAGGGATGTAATGACATTCCCGATAATATACCCAAAAAATCCACTATTAATAATAAAACATTACCGGGAATTAGATTCCCGACCAACCAAACGGGAAAATGTGGATTTCATTCCCATGGGAATCTCACATTCCCCGAACCAAATAGTATTAGCTTATACGATACCCTGGATTTTGGGTTAACAGTTAGTTTAGGTTTAGTTTATATAGCTGAAGTAAATCTATAGTGCTTAGCTTAGCTAGATATGGAGAATGCACATCTACTAATTATTCGGAAGCAGGCTGTTGCTCTATTCCTTGGACCCACAATGAGATCCAACATATAAATGCTTCAACCCTACTAAAATGTGTTAATTGCTTTCTTTATCCCCGTCACTGAAATTAAAGATATTTCTCTTGTTGAACCCACATCGAGAATGCTTCAAGGGTTTTCATTTCAGCTTTGTAATGTTTCCGAGTAAATTCTAGCAAAGTTGCCCAAGTAAATTCTCTGGGTATATCCTTGGGTTTTCTTCATTCGCTAAAGCAGCAGCTGGTGTTACCGTCTTGTACATCTTTTTGGCACACCAATAACGCGACTCATCTTCTCACTGTCCGATTATTCACCACTGCTCTATGCAAGCAGCTCTCGTAAATTCCGTTTGATAGAGCCTGTAAAATAACAATTTTACTTGATGTTACAACCAAGTTGAATATGTATGTATGTATTGAAAAGACTGTTTCTTTTCATGGAAGCTTGGATAAAAACCTGCGAACGAAGCTACTCGAATGAATATCCACAAGTTTCTCCTATTTTTGCTTCTCGGAGATTTGCATGCGGAAAAACAAATGCATGCACCGATGAAATTGACAAGGAGAGTAAGGTGAAGGATTGAGAAGTCATTAAACGAAAAGAAATGTTTTTTGGTGATGGTTTACAGGAAAAACACATAAGTTGCATGTCTAATTCAATCAAAAGAAGAAAAAAAATGAACGAGTCAAACCTTGAGTTATGGAAGTAAATAAAAGAAAAATGGAGGGTTAAGGAAGAAGAAGGGAATACCTGCGTGAGAATGATGGGGGACTCATTTAGACATTCCTATTCTCAGTCAACTGCCCCTTCTATATAATGATTTCATTGTCAATTTTAATGACAGGGATACGGGAAATGTTGTGCCAATCTTTTCCTTTATCCTTTTGGCAATGTTCCTTCAGCAATGGATAATTCACAATGAAGAGATACAAAAGAGAACATGGGAGCATCTTTGTTGGCGCTTGGAGCTTTGGACAATGGTATATATACAATCTTTGAAGAGATGTGAGGTGTTGAAAGCTCTTAAAGTCCAAAGACTTTAGATTTGGAAGATCAGAGATAGTGAGAGATGTAAGAGAAGAGGGCAGCAGATGTTCATCTGGAAAACGCTTCATCTCTAACTCTGTATCCGAGAGTTCGAAATATGTAAGTGAAGGGAGTGTTTGTAAACAACGTTCCCCTTTCCTGATCAATCTCGCAATGATCTTATCACTCCCTAAGATAGTGATGTATTTTAATTTGGAGGGCAAAGCTTCTGGAGATGACTCTATTTCTGGACAACCTCCTATTGACAACATCAGAAGGGATGGGAAGGTGGACTGCATTTGCTCTGGCAATGATTTTAAACTTGTACAATCCCAAAGATGAAGTTCGGTCAAATTTGTGATGGCTAATCCGTCTTCAATTTGAAAAGATATAAAGTATTGGCACGAATGTATACTCAATGAACTGAGACTTGCTAGATGCTGCTGGTGAGAGTCCTTTGAAGCAAAAATGAACTTCAAGTCTTCACATCCCCAGAAAGAAACATTATTTAACATAGGGAATGATCCTAATGGGAAAGATTCTAGTGGATGACACTTCTTACTTCTTATCTGCAAGGATTTAAGGGATGTACACAACAAGGTTTTGGAACAATTCAAGACTTTGCAGCTTATGATGCACAATTGCTTCAGCTTAATAGGCACAACAGAGTCGGGAAGGGATGTGATACCAGAAAAATTCCGCATGGACAACTTTTCAAGATGAGTGCATTGTTGCAGCATCTGTTCCAATATGGAACCGTTGATATTCGAATCTCCAACAACCAACTCTCGAAGCCCGCAGGGTAATGGCTCCAATTGCAATGCATTTCATTTCTCTAACTCGAGTTTGAAAATGCTTGGTGCTGTTGGAAGCGAGCCTCCAAGCTTCTCACAATCTTCAATCTTCAGTTTCTTTAAAGAAGGGAGGTGTTGGGGCAGAGATTTGGTCAGCTTGGGACAGTTTCTTAGGCACAGCTCTTGCAAAAGAGAGAAAACTTCATCACTCCAACAAAACCATTCTTCCCACTCTGTCATATCCTCAAAGCTTAGAATTTCAAGAGATCCAAATGGTTTATCCGAAGCGTGCCCATTCCCTTAGAACTCATCACCCACTGTTACCACTCCGCTGAACCTTGAAATAAGGAGAGATTTCAGAGATGATAATTGCCCAAGTGGTGGCAAGTAAATGCAAAAATTACAATTCCATAACTCCAAAGACACGACATCTGAGATGGAAGAATGCCCCACCCATTCCGGAAATCTCGTGCCATTGTAGCTTCTAATAACAAGATGTTCCAAGTTTATACGAGGCTTCAGTTGTTCAAGTTCTTGTCGATCATGCTTTGAATCGCCATCAATATCATCATTTTCACCCCATATCAATTCCAATCCCTTAAGGTTCACCTTATCTTTCAAATTGGTAACCGAAAATATTATCATGTTTTATTTTAAAAATTATACAAATTTATAACATTCTCTATTATAATTAAACAGTTTTACATTTAGGACTTACAACCGAAAATATTATAAAAAATATAACATAATCGATTATAACGGAAAATGTTACTCTATATAATCTAAAAAAATCATACTCTTGATAAAATTTTCGATTACAACTAATTTTATCACTTTTTAATATTATTATATTAACAAGTATTTTAAAATTTCCGCAAGAGACACAATCTCAATTTTCATCGCAATCAAATCTTGTACTCTTGTCCAACTATCAGACTGACCTCAGAATCTCTCAACTCTTAGCCAAATTCATGCTAAAACTCGTTTAGAATCCTTTTGCAATGGAACAAAAGTTGGCGTATTCTGATTATGGGGCAACTTTTTAACACATTTCTTTTTATAAAATTTTTACCACTATAAACAGTGTAAGAATCTTGTAATTTTGTAAAAGGTAGCACATTTAGAGCGTTCACTGCGCCTGTACAACAGCTAAGAGACACAGACGTCCCCTGCAAATTGGAAATGTGATGATGCTTAACTCATCTTCACACTACAAGAGATGCTTTCCCTGTTTGATTTTCAGCAGAACCGAAAAGCATCAGAAGTTGCTTTGCTTACCCCTATCCGGTAATCACAACTAAATTCGGAGTCGAGCAACATTAGACCTCTAAACAACGCGGTTTCTCTATCTACAAAACTCGAACCAACCGACATACGTAGAGCTTCACCTTTCATCATCATCAATTCAGGACCTAATAATTTGGATTTTTCCTTACTGAATCAATGTGACTTTGCAGTCATAATGCAAATTAAAAGCCTGGGTCCAAGAGTTGTCCCCCGCTACTGAATTTCATGATCCTTGGAACAAAAATCAGCTACTTTCTAAAAGGTAGAAGACAAAGGAAAAGGGATATACACACTGGGGACAAATGAACAGTTAATAAACTTTGGAGCAAATTTAATGAAGGTAACATCTGGGTCCAAAAAGTGAAAAAAGGCAATATATCACCGTTAATCCTGAGATTCCTAAGTGGGGTTGATCCTGAGATCCTAAGTCATACATGTAGTAGATAAGCATTCGTTAAAAGGGGAGACTTTCAGACAATTAAACACCTTAAAAAACGAAGAAAAAAATGCAATTGAAGAACAAAACACGACACATTTATGAGATAAGGTGAGTAGCTTCTTTTGTTATTTTTCTTCCTTTTTTTGCAACTATTTCTACATACGCAAGGAAATGACCTACAACTAGGTACAAAACTCTACAGTTAAATCAAAATGCTTGCTCAGGAAATCCGACACTCACCGAGCCTTCTTACGGGGCTTGAACAGGAAATTCGATGGCGGGGAAGGCGAGAACTCGAAAGGCAAATGTGGTGGCTCTGTCTCACCAGAAAGCATCACCACGATCTCTTTCATGGTAGGTCGCTTGCTTGGTGATCTTTGTAGACACAGCAATGCAATGGTAATACAGAGCAATGCTTGATCCTTATTCAGTGAGTGAATACAAGGGTCGACTAGTTCCAAAAGCCTCCCATTGCGAGCCAGTTGTCTTGCCCAAGATATCAAATTTGCTCTCTCGAATTCGGAAATTGGGGAGCCTGTCACTTGGAGAGGTCTACGGCCGGATATTATGACCAAAACCAGAACCCCAAAGCTATAAATATCACATTTCTCCGAAAGCAAACCGCCACCACCGCACTCCGGCGCAATATAACAAACAGTTCCTCTCATACTCGGCGTACTACTGATCCCACCGCTCTTCGGTATATCACAGCTAGCCCAATCTTGGCTATTTCTTCTTCTGATTTTGAATTCACCACTAAATCCATCCAACCACCAATCAATGCTGCCTCTGCTGTTCTTTTTCTTTTTCCTTTCTACCATTTCCTCATCTCTTTGCCACCAGAGTTCTCCGTTGTTACTCGAACTAAGTCCTCTTTTCTTCTTTTTCTTCTTCTTTGTTAGTTCTTCACAGAATTCTTCTTTCCACCACTCTTTAGGCTTCCGATTCCTCTCCTTCTTTCGAATCTTTTCCTTCTTCTGCTCGACACTCGAACTCGAAACCTTGCAATCGTTAATGTTATCGACTGAGCTTGGAGAAGCAAGCCATTCATTTTTGGGTCTTTCCTTTTTTATCTCGTTCCCAATCCATTCCATTACGTAGTCTTTAACTCGCCCTGACTCATACCCAACCCCAGGATCCTGCTTCCACCACCAATCTCTTCTCGAACCACCCTTTTTATTACTAACCAAATCTCTCCCACTTTCCACACTGACTTTATCATAGAGTCCTTCAGAAAAAACACTCACTTTTTCCAGTTTCGTCTCCGGTGACAAAGCCGGCGATGCCTCGGAATCCAAAATTCTAAGCTCGCAGCTTTCCGGTGACCTATGGCTATCGGCAACTGTCAAGCTCGCACCTTCTTCGAAACCAGTTAAAACGCTCTCTGTTTCTTCTAAAATTGATCCGTTATCTTCTACAACGGCATCTTTTTTCCTCAAATTTCCACTTTCTTCAAGCCCTTCAACTAGATCCTCTGTTTTCAATCTAGCGAGACCGAAATCACCAATCTTGGCCTTGAATTCTCCGTCCAAAAGAACATTACTTGGCTTAACATCGCCATGGATAAACGGCGGATCACAGAAATGATGGAGATACTCGAGCCCTTTAGCCACATCGTCTATAATAGAAAATCTTCTACTCCACCGCTTCAGTTCTTCGCATTTTGTATCCAAGAGCGCGTCTTGAACGCTCCGATTTTCCATAAATTCGTAAACCAGAACGAACCTTCTTCTCCTGGAATCTGAAGAGAACCCAATGAGGGGAACAATGTGGGGAGAATCCAAGGCGCGTGTGAGAGAGAGTTCATTGTGGAACTCACGCTCTCCTTGCAACGAATCCGTCGAGTTCATAACTTTGACCGCGAGCGGTTGAGCTGACGATTGGAGAGTTGCTTTGTAAACTGACCCGAATCCGCCGTGTCCTAACCGGTTGGAAGGGGAGAACGAGGAAGTGGCGCGGCGGAGGAGGGAGTACGAGAAGCGGCGGCAGTGAAGATGGCTTGAAGATTCCGACGGAGCTGTGCAATTGCGAGAGAGCTTCCGGTAGATGAAGATGGTTAAGACAGTTAAAAGTATAAGAGTTATAGTCACGGCTGCAGCGAGGAGTTGGGGAAGCAAGTGGAAGTTTTTATGAAGGTGACGGTGGTAGTGCGGTGGCGTCTCCGCCGCGATTTCTGGAGGCGAGAACCGTGATGGCATTATTGTAAATAGAGAAGAAACCAAAGCTAAGTTAGGATTGCATTTAGCTTTCGGTTCTCTTCTCGGTTTAAACTTTGGAAGAAGAATCTACCACTGACAGAATACTAAAATATATTGTTTTGTTTCTAATTTTAATTTCTTTTATTATTTCCGGAAAAAATAGGAGTCTTGGGTGACATAGTGTGTGTATTTGAACGTTGACTTGTCGGACCATTATTGGATGGTCAGGAATTTGTTTCTCACCGTTGGGTGAGTGGGATTTAATTATCAATTTAAGCGATAACTGATGAGATCCATCTATGGGTGGCAGATTGTGTAGGGTTAACTACCCTATTAGTCACTGAATTATGACCATGTTTTTTATTTTGGCCACTAAGTAAAAAAAATCAATTAAGGCATGAAGGTTAGAAAAATTGACCAATCAAATTGACCATAGTTTGAGCTCTTTATATTTACACATGTAATTAATTTGATCTTAATTTTAAATAATTTAATAAAATTACCTCCTATGATTACTCATTCATTGTTTCTCTAATAGACATTGTCTTTTCTTCAAATAAAATGAGCTTAGTCATCGCATCCTTTCACTTTTATTCCTGCTTTTATCAATAACTTCTTTAGTTAAATATCACCGTTAAAAGACTCCTTGTCCTCTCCTCACCGTCAATATTAAAATGTGATAATTTAGGTTTGTTGATTTTTGATGGAGATGACGGAGTCGTTGAGCGACGAAGAAGATTGTGAGTGTCGAGGGATAAAGATAAATGGTGAAGTAAATTTTTGGACCAATTTAATTTATTAATTTTATTGATTTATTTGTAATTAGAAATAAATCCATATAATATACGAATTATAAAAAAAAATATTTTTAAAATATTCCGTGTCAGTAATTCAGTTATTTAATTTACTATCGAGGACTCGGTGATCAATTTTACTAGCGTTAGTGTCTTAATTGATTTTATTAGTTTAATGGTTAAAATACAAACACCCTAACAGAGGGGTGACCAATAGGACAATTTACCCGGATGGATGAGCGTGAAAAGAACGCGCCATCGTGATGAACATGGGACGAGTGTGGGAGGTCACGTGGGATCGAGGTCTACAAAAACAAAAGTTGTTTGTCTTCTGCGAAAGCCATTGATGGCGCTAAGGAACTGGGGATGGGCAGCGCGTGCATTGGGGGTAGATCGACATGAATTGAGTGTTGTGACTTGTTTGTTTTCTTCGGATTTTCAACTCTTTAATTACTATTGTTTCTATTTATTTTATAGTTAAAAAACAGCATGGTGCATACGTTATCCCAGGCTACGGTTAACGGGTTAAGTGGGTTTGACCTCTTGGATGTTGTTTTTTTTCCTTGAAAAAATAAAAAATTATAGTGCCATCTATTTTCGTAAAGATATTTTTAAGGTTTAAAGTAAAAATAATTTCTTAAACTGATTTTTTTTATATGTTATAATAATTAAAACTATATTTCTAAATAAAAATAATAATTAAATTATCATCATCATTATTATGTAACAATTTAGAGACTGTAAATATAAAAATGATAGGTTATACATTTTAATACGGTTAAATATATTATATATTATATTACATTTTAATACGGTTAAAAAAACACTATTGTTTACACATGAGATGACTAAAGCAAAAAGGTAACAACCCTAGTGAATTGGCGGGTAGTTTTTTGACTTTCTACTTTATGTTAGGGTAAACTATCATTTGGATCACTAAACTGTTATCATAATTCTATTGTGACCGTAGAACTATACATTTTATCAATTACGTCACTAAATTATTAAAATGATTTCAGCAAAATTGGTAACCGTTAATTTTTTTTAAAAAAATTCGTTATGCTAAAGTTAATTAGAATTTAATAAATTGGAGAAAGAAGGTGGGAACAAAGGAATTCAAACCTAGGAAAAGGAAGTTTAGGAGCACCTAATCGTTGAGCCAAGTTCAGCACTTGATTAGTTAAAGGTCAAAATAAAACCACCCCAATAATTTAGTGACTCACAAGATAGTTTGCCCTTTATTCCATTACATGGTTTTGTGCTAACAGACAAAGTCTTCGAATCAACGCTTGTGTGGGGTGGTTACGGGCTATGACTGCCTGGCTCGGTACCCGTGATCCCCAGCGATATTTCCCAGACCGCTTTTGAATTACTATACTTTGGATTAAAATAATATTTGTTCTTACCCAAAACAACAGTTACTTTATTCACAACTAGGTATAATTAAATGTGTTGGAACGTGAGGTATTCCCCTCGGAGATTGAAAGCTTTCTTCATAATACCAAAACAAAACTCATTTTTGGTTTGGGATGAGATCGCTTCGTTGATGACTGAAGTCGGTGCCATATCTTTTTGGACAGCAAAAGGATGTTTTTCTTCAAGGATTTGCTTTCGTTGGTTGAACTGGACGGACCTTTTAAAAAAATAGACCTAGAAATGTATGTAAATGCCATTCTTTAATTTTAGTGCATTTTGCATCTTACAAACTGAAAGGCCAAATTCACATGCTTCTCTTGGCTGTGCTATTCACTGTAGAGGTTTTGCACCGCCATTTTCTTGGATGCTATTCACTGGAGTTGAGGATCCACTTCTCTTGCTGGAATGTCCTGTGAAGGTCCTGCCCATGAACTTTCCAGCTTTGCTTAGTCCGCTGCTAACAGCTCCGAGACCACTGCCGACGATCCCAACTCCAGCCCCGACACCACTTCCCACAAGTCCAACGCCAGCGCCAATACCTGTACCAACCATGCCAACACCGGATCCAACCAATGATGCTGCTCCGTCAAGTGCATCCATTGTGCTTCCTATAACTCCAGCCTCTTTCAATCTCTTTCTCTCTTCCAGGATCCTCTTCTCTTCTTCTAAAGCAATCAGTTGTTCCTCCTTACTAAACTTATGGTACATAAGCTGAAAGTACAGAGAAGAAAATATAGAACAAAATCCTTATTTACAGAAGACACGAAATAGATAAAGCTAGAAGCAAACGAGGAGCAGACTTAATGACATGAGAAGCATCTATAATGCAGGCACCTGAACACAAGCCATAGAAAACAGTACAAAAAGATGTGTACCTTAATGGTGCAATTTCCTCTATCCTTCTTATCTTTTACTTTAAGTGTATCGAGTGAGGATAGAAGGCTCAGAGTGACCTCCTTAGGTGTCTCTGGTTCCAGTTCAATCAAACGCAATTTTGTGATTCCTAATCTCTTGTCTTGCCCAATGTCCTTGTCAAAAACCTGTTTGAAGCCATTTAGAATATAATTTGAGGATGAAAACAACCGAAAGTAGAAGCTCATTGTTTCTCAAACATGAGGGAGGGAGAGGGGACACTGAACACACATAAATCTAATGTAAAGTAAAAACTTCTCAAGTTTCAACATTAGCATTCAGTAGAAATGTAATTATGACAGAATAAGCAAAAAGAGGAACAGAAGGTCAGAACCTCTACAGTTAGTGCTTGTGTCTCTCTGTCTTCTGCAATCAACTCAAATGTTTGATTCCAAACAGGATTCAGGTTGTTGTCGATGACTTTTGTTTTAACCTTGAAAAGAGGTCGAATGTGAACAACCACATAAGGATCAGACTTTCCAATCATTTCCATGTTCTTCAAATCATTAGCTTTGACTACTGTAACTGTCAGCTTTCCCTCTGGATTAAGCTCTAATTCACTGCATAACAAAAGAATAAATGATATTCATCCATTCCAGCATACCAAGGAATTCTTGAAATCCAAAATGAACAAATATAGAACTTGGGCTTTTCTTCCCCAACATTTTGCCATTTCCCCTCCTGCAACGGGAAAACAGCACAGAGACTGAAGTCTAAATATTACCTGGTATCAACTGGTATACCACCAATAGGAACAACAATTCTATGTGGCCACTGAAGCATGTCTGTGACAATTGTATTCACAGTATCCTACAAAATACAATAAAAGTGGAGCAATCAACAATATTAATGAGAAAATATAAGAATATCAAAACAATCAAAGTGTGTGAACGTGTTAAAGAATTAAAATTTGAAAACTTACATCAATCATATCTGAAATTCCTGGAATTGCTGTTAAGCTTCCACCAACAGCCTTCAGAGTGTAATCAATTCTAGGTTTTGGCTGATTGATTTTGGAAAAAGAATTAGTGAATCTGACAAAAATGTAGTAGGTCATAATGACCATAAATAACTTCCTACTTCACACGCTTTGGAGCTTTGATTAGTTACTTATACATATCCCTTCATAGAAAAAGTGAAATGATATATATATATATATATATATGAAAAAAAGAAAGCTAAATCGTGCGAGCCGTGTTGTAATCATCTATACTAGATAAAACTGTGATTAACCAATTGTTTCTAGATAACATCTGGACAGTTTTATCAACCAGAGCATCAATATAAACATCAGTGCACTTGAAATTAGTATTACTCTAATGGTACCTCAGAAAGAAGAGCAACGACTACAGCAGAAATACAAGGTATCTCTTCAGCAAGCTGGAAGATGACACGAATAACAGTGAAAACTTGAAGATCCTTCAACTGCATCACAGAACAACAGACTAATAGTAAACTAATAGTCTCATTTCATAAAATTTTAACTCCAAAGATGGAAAAAGTATTATGTTATGTATGGTATTCAAACATAATTACATTTAAATTAAATAAAGTTGAAAATTGACAGGTTGTTGATGTACAAACCTGAATTGGAATTGAAGCAACAAGTGCAGCTTCGACACCTAAAATTATACTAGGATCACCGCCCCACCGAAAATCAATATCCATTGTGATTTGACCTTTCTTAAGGCTCTGAACACGAATACCTACATTTCATAAGTAATCATGCAGGTAGAAAATACTTAAAAGGAGGATTTCGAAATAGTTTATAGAACTCAAAAAAAAATTGATAGAAATAGGAGGCCTCATTAAATTGAGCAATAAAAATGGTCCCTGGTAACAACCAATCATCTCTTACATATATCAAGTCTGATGGCCTATGCACCTTCCAGAACAACCAAGTTTAAGTGCCGCTGCATGGAATTACAGCATACAAGTAGGCAGAGACTATCTTCACATAAATTTACATCAACTATGGGAAAAGGGAAATCTGATTCGAATAAACTAAAAAGCAGACATAGCAAACTAGAAAAAGTGGCAGTTAAGGCAGGTAATTGAACAATCATGACCTAAAGAAGCTCATTTTTCCTTTCAGAAGATACAAAATTTCTTGAAGTAAATATTTGATATAAATAGGAAGGCATGCATATAGATTGCATATCTAGCATGTATAAGGACTCCTTATGAGTTAGGACTTGTGAACATGGAAATCCCCACTATGGGAAAGAAGCCCATAACAACTGTAGTTAGATATTCTTGCTGAAAGATAAAGCAATTATATCAAGTAAAAGCAAGCAAAATGAAGTCATATTGTCCACGAATAATACCTTCAATCTTGGGAGCCACAGTGCCAAGAGACAATTTGCTAAACTTTAGCGAAGTAATTCCTGGAGGTCGGTATTCTTCCAAGAGCGGTTCAACAGATTCTTTGATGACTGCAGATGCTGCCTGATAATAGAACATCAATAAACCTTTGGCTCAATAATTAATACATAGACTGTACTTCATTGCAGAAACCTTTGGCACCATGACCATGAGAGTATCTATAATGGCCTAACGTAGGTTTATGATTATCTACATACAAAAAAGTTCCATTAAAATTGCATATAAAACAAGTAAAACTATTTCACCTCACAAAACATCAAAAGAGCTGAATAAGCTGCCTGAATCTAAGTATTCTTGACGTCAAGTCAAAACCTTCAGTAACACAGAAGCTACACCGCTAAGTTCTTTAGCTTCACATAAGTCTCTTTTCAGCCTTCTTGAATAACAGTTATTATATATCTTATTGCAAAAACCAGCAGCTTACCTCCACCACAGAAGGCCATAATTTGCTCAATTGCTTGTTCAGCCACTTCACCTGTTAGGATTAACCATGATGTATATCATAAGAAACCATACTGAATGTCTTAATAGAAAAAAAGATTGTACCATTTCTATATGCCTAACACATGCAGAATTGCAGATGTTGTGGTATCTTTTTTAGCCCAAAGAAAAGATGTATCCAGTTTTTATATGCATGTTCTAGATCATAGAAGTCAACGTTAGGATATTTCTTCAAGTATAAGGTGCCCGGTCTTAAAGATGCATATATAACCCTTTAAGAAAAATAAAATCATTGGTTAATTGTAGATACTGATCATTCAGTAAAAAGAATAGATTTTATAAATTAGATTCCAAGCATAAAGCACAAACAAATCATATTCCGAACTTCATCAGAAGAAAAGAAGTTGCACTTTTACAAGGGAATCAAGAGAAAATTGGTTTTCTTTTTCAAGTTGAATAAAGTAAAGCCATGGTAGCCTAGGAAAAGGTTAACAGGAGAACTACTTAATCTAACACCATTACACAGACCTGTTCATAGACAGGGAAAGATATCCATTCAGGATAATTATCACCACAAATTTTCTTCAGATCATCCCTGTTTAGAGCTCCAAGAACTTTTATATCAGCTGCCTGTCAAAAAAGACAAGTATAATGATTAATAGGCATCCAGAAAGCCAACAATGTCCAAATGTAAAAAGATGAGTTACAAGATCTTAATAACCCTAGTGAAAGACAAACTAAAATGTAGATTCATTACCTAATATAATACAAATACTTTACCCACAAATTTCAACAAAGCACTAAAATGTATAATAAATTTAAACACAATCCATGAGAACATAGTACAGTAGAAGACATAGCTACCGGAAAATGCTAAATTTCTTATTATTGCACACCCATGTATAGTCAGATTTCTAATGAGAATGGAAATAGTAAAATATATCAAATAAATTCTCTCTCATCGTAGAGATGCTCCAGCCGAAACATGGTTCCTTCAGGGACATCCAAAATTAGACTTCAAAAACTAACTCGTCGATTTATAAAAATTAAAAGTTCACCATAGCTTAAACTTAATCCAAAACACAGCATTTTTCCCGTATTGGTTTAGGTTGGATAAAAAAATATGATGTTCACTAGAAACTCTACTTCACTGGCCTTCAGATGCGGAACTACATGGAGGGGACCCTACCTGCTCCAAACTCTAGGAAAATAATCACTATTCCCTTTTGAAAATTTAAAACTTTTTATTTAGCCCCCTCAAAATATTTTAAAAAAATTATTTGTTCCCTTAAAATTGTTAAATTTCACATTAATATTTACTTATATGTATTTATAAATTAAGTCAAATTAAATTGGTACTTCCAAAAAAAATTATACACGCAACTTAAATTCTCATAAATATGTAAAGTTTTTTTTTTAAATATTAGCTTCTCCTACATATCATTTTCGTTATTTTTAGGCTACTACTTTCATCTGTAAATAAAGGCAAATTCCTACTAATTTCCTCAAGTTCTTGGAGTTTCTTCAATAAGTCAAGCGCTAAGATCGGCTACTATATATATATATATATATTTTTCCATTTTCTTTCCCAGCAAAAAATAGTGGAGGATTTGTCGAAATCGCCTGTTATGGATCCACATTTGCTCTTGGCAGTCACATAAGGACATACATGGTTTGATTGATGGGTTACAAGTTCTATCATGGAAGTTATAGAGTCACATACTCGAAATGCAATTCTAATCCCGACCACTTTGTATTCGCTGAAAAATCTTTTGTAATGTGTGCCTTAAACTAGAGTTCCAAACAAGCTTAATTCTTAGTATAATGGTAAAATAAGATATAGATTACTGTTGGTAAATGCCCCCCTCATAAAATGTCTAGTTCTGCTACTGCTGGCATTAATGGACATTATAGCAAATGCCTTTGTGTTCTACACAATTTTCAACTCAGGCTATTCTTAAGTCCCAAACTCCTAAGCTACAAATTTCAAGTCAACTAGTAAAACTACAGTTGGAACCAAAAATCAAAGCAAACAGTTGAAAACTTGGCCACAGTTGGTTACTTGGTTTGTAATAACAGGGAAAATATATTTACTCAACCAGTTTTAAACAACTAAGAATTTTCTCACTCATTTGAACAATCAACGGAAATAGCAAAATGGAAAGAAGTTTAACCAACTACGAACGATTTAATCGAAGGAATAAGCAATTGAACAACACAAAGAAACCTACGCAGATGAACAGCCTAAACAGATATAGGGAAATTAGCATACCTTAGCGATTCGCTTAGTGCTTCGGTACCTCATCATCTGACACCAACCAGCCATCAACGAAATCCCGAAGATCAACCCCATCACAATCCCCGAAATCAGCCCCATTTCCTGGAATCCAAACAGAAATTAACTTCAGGAAACAAACAAGAACTACAAAATAAATAGTAAACGTGCAGCAAAAAGAAAAAAAAGCAAAGAAAAAAAGTCAAATGAAAATTGGAGATCGACAAAGAGAGGAAAACGAATTTACGTTACAAAAAACTTCGACTTCTCTTCTATTCGTTGTGAAACTTACTCCAAATTATTGAGTATCAGTGGTTTAATCTCGTCTCTGTGTAGAACTTTAAAAAAATCAATAATTAGTTTCAAATAAAACACATCTCTATCAAAGGAGTTGGACGCTGGCGGCGTTGGCACCGTAAACGAATAGTGGAAATTAAGAAGATGGAAGCATTCAAGATGTGTAGGGCATGGTCGGACAGGAAGAGGGTCAATGAAAAAAGAATGGACAATGGACAGACTCTTCCCTTTGCCTTTTTAATCTTCCGCAGTTAGTTTTTTCGTGTTTTTCTAAATACGCGTCTGTCGGTTTGGTTTCTAATAAACTGTAATAATTAAATTAAATAATATTAGGTAAAATACACAAATGGTCCTTATGTTGTTGCTATGATGAGTTCTTCAACTATTAAAAATTACATAATATCTTTCGACTATAAGTTATTACTTTAGTGAGTCCCCTAATTATTAAAAGTTATAATATTATCACTTAAATATTTATATGTTCTAAACTAATCATTTTCTGTTAAAAAATTTACGATTGTCTAAGAGCGTCAACCTATTGACTGCCTTATGATGTGATAAAATTATATTCTAATAATGTCTATTTGCATCGTTGTTGCTTTCAATCTCACTGGCTCGACAACATAATATTTCAAGCATTAGCTCAATGACATAATGTAAATAGAGACTCGATCCACTAAACGCAACTTAAATAGTTATGAGATTAGATTTTATCATATTTCAATGAGCATGTTAACATCCAAATCAAACGACGACAAAATTTTTAACAAAAATGACGAGTTTGTAACATATGAATAGTTATGTGATTATATTGTAACTTTTAATAGTTAGGGTACTCAACAAAATAATATCTTACAGTTGAGAGATTATTTTGTAACTTTTAATAATCTAAAGACTCTTCAAAGTAATATTCTATAGTCAATGGACCATTTGTATAGTTTACCCATTATATCTAAGGAGGCGTGATTTCCAACAAACGGAAATTTGTATTTATGCAGTTTTGTGAAATTACTTTGCGGAGGTTTTCTAAAGGGATAAAGCAATATATAGTCCCTAAACTTGATAACTTTGTTAATTTAGTCCCTAATTTTTCCCCCATATTAGTCTCAATACTATGGGTGTTCCTGTACCTTGTCCCGTAAAGATCAGATACCTGAAATAATTAGGTCGAGTCACAGTGTATCTAAGATAAATTTGTACATTTTTTTAACAATTCAATAATACTAGCATAACTTGTCACTTAAAAATTGTGTGTAATATAATTTTTTTAGCAAAGAAAGATTCAATGATCAAACATAAAACTTAAAAGTTCAATCATAAATATATATATATATATAGGGATAGTATCCTATTACACAATATAATTTTTTTTTTAAGTTTTACAAAGAGTTAGGACAGTTGGATAAGCGAAAATAAATTACTGAGATTAACAGTAGGAAATGAGAATATATTCACTGGAAAAAGCAAAACAAGGAATCAATCTCAGTCATATATTTTCACTCATTCAACGATCTTAAATCCGTGTAAAACTAAAGAATTTTATATTGTGTAAGTGGATCCTAACACATATATATATATATATATATATATATATATATATATCCGAATGGCATAATTTAATGTTTAAATATTAGACTTAAAAGTACAAATTATAATTTTTAACCAAATATAATTAATAACGCGTTGATGGGAAGATCAAAATAAAATGATATTGATAGTTTGAGAATTAATATAGAATGTTACTTGTGATCGTTACTAAAATATGAGGTTTGTGAGGTATCCACGAATATCTTTTCCTTATAGGGCATATTAAGTACATCAAATGTAAAACTAACAAAAAAAAATAACAAACAAGTGCAATTGGTTTTGTGCTTAATCACTGCAGGTTTCACATTGCAAACTGAAATGGCCAAATTCACATGCTCAACTTAAACTGGGTTTGCGCCACCAGTTTCTTGGATGCTATTCAGTGAGTTGAGGTACCACTTTTGTTGGAATGCCCTGAGTTAAAGTGTTGCCTATCAACTTTCCGGCTTTGCTCAGTCCACTACCAACCTTACGAACCCTACCGACACGATAACCGACCGACGGAAATGCTCTGTTTATTGCAACCTTCATGCTTCTTTTAACTCCACCTTCTTTTAATATCCTCTTCTCTTCTTCAAACGCAACCTGTTGTTCGTCCTTGCTAAACTTATGGTACAAAACCTGCAAGTACAAAATAAGTGTAAATGGCATCAGAAGCAACAACGTGATATGCAAAAAACTGTAAACAATGCGTGTACCTTAATGGTGCAACTTCCTACGTTCTTGTGATCTTTGCCTTCAAGCATATGAGTAACCTCCTTTTGTGCCCCATTTTCCAGTTCATTCAACCTAAATTTTGTACTTCCTAATCTCTTGGCCATTTTTTTATATATAAATTTTAAATCTAACCTCAATCCTATCTAGAGGGATCTTTTAAGGGAAGGAAGGGAGTGTTCCTAGTAGATCTAGAACCCACAATCTAAGCGAATATAAAGGAATAAAGATGAACAGTTTGACCAACTAACGAAATGTGCTTACTATAACTATAACTATAAATTCTTTTAAGTGAACAACAAATATAAATAGAAAGGCATGCATATAGATATGATGTCCTTGGGACTTATGAACAAGGAAACCGCTACTATATGAAAGAAGCTTGTAATAGCTATGATTAAATACTGTGATAGTTAAAATAGTTATAGCAAATAAAAAGCAAGCAAAATGAGGTCACGTTGTCCAATTAAGTCGTACCTTTAATCCTGGGAGCTATAATGCCAAGACACAATTTGTTAAACTTTATTGAAGTAACTCCTGGAGGTCGGTATTCTTCCAAGAGTGGTTCAACAGAATTTTTAATTAGTGTAGACGTTGCCTGAAAATAGTACAACTATTTGAATTTAAGTTCTCTCTCTCTCTATATATATATATTATCAAATGAAGCCCTCACAAATTGCTAAAAAAGTAGCTTACCTCTGCAATGGAAGGCCATAATTTGCTTAGTTGCTTATTTAGCCAGTTCACCTTTGGATCAACAATACCATAGGGTAGTTAGCAACCATATAACATGTCTTAATAACAAGAATTAGACAAATTGAATAACTTAACAGAAGGTTGAGAGGAGAAGTAATTAATCTGACACCATTACACTGACCTGTTCATAGTCAGGAAATGATATCCATTGGGGATAATTGTCACCACAAATTTTCTGAACATCATCCCTGTTGAGAGCACCAAAAACTTTTACGAAAGCTGCCTGTCACAGGAGACAAACACAGTGAAATTAAGTGGAATCTGTCCGAAAGCTAAAATTAGATGAACTAGCAAACAAATGAACAACTTAAGCGCACCTTAGCCATTCGCATAGTGCTTCGGTACGTCATCATATAAGCCCAGGCAGCCATCAACAATATCCCGAAAATCAACCCCATCAAAATCCAAGGAATCAGCCCCATTTTCCCGGAATCCAAACAGAGAAGAAACCACGTTTAGTGAGAAATGAAAACCGGGGATCGAAAATCCAACGTACGTTCGAAAGACTTGTCTTCTTCCAAAAAAATTAAGCATCAGTGATATTTAATCACCCCTCTAGGCTCTGACTCAGTAATCGGATTTGCTTTCAAATATAAAGACGGTTGAACAAGTTGGATATGGGCGTTGACATTCGAAACTAAAAGAATGAATGAAGCATTAACGGCCAACCATGGGAGTATTTCTGCGTGGAAATGTGTCACAACTTTCCACTCTGTTTCCTTGCTGTTTTGGTGGAACATAAGTGGAAGGTTATTCCCGGACTATTGACTTACACCAGCTTAGATAAATAACAAGTTGCACACGTTGTAACTAAATAAATAATAACTACTTGGTAGTCTCTTAACATATTTTAAAAATTATACTATAATTTTCTTAACCCATCAAAACTGAAAGCAACATATCAATGGATGGTTCAGAAGACAACTCTGATGTGAAAAACGATGGAATAAGTTAGGAACAAGGATGCAAAGCTTTGCTTTAAGATCATTAGGATTTTTTTAATTCATTGGAATATTTCGCTAGGAATTGCAAGCTAAAATTTAGGAACCATAACCCATTCTAGTATGGTTTAGTTTGATGCAATTGCGGATTCTTGCCTAAACAACATAGTTTCATTTATTTAGCAATTTCCGATCTCATCTTCTTTACACAAAGGGATGGTTCGGGTTTCACATAGTACAGATATATTTAAAGCGTGCAATTGTCCATTTCAACGAATCGAGTCCAGTTTTTAAGTTCGATGAAACGCACGAACATGAAGGCCCCCATCTACATGAAGATTTATCATTGTCCTGTACGTGACAGTTCTATTTTCATCACTCAATTTAAACACAAAGTAGCGGAGAAGAACAGCTGAAAAGATCTTCATCTGCCTATAAGCAAACTCTCTACCCAGACAAATTCGAGGTCCTGCCTGTTAATCAATAGAAAACAAAGGTCAGTATTTTCAATTCTTCAACCCTGAAATCACACCAGTGAAAAAAATTTGAGATCCAGAAAGGTGATCGAAGCATAGGACGAATCGTGAAGTTCCGACGTGCATGTTCTTGCATACCTGGAAAGCTGAAAACTTGAAAGGGCTTTCTGATCGGAACATGCCATTCTCGTCAAGCCATCTCTCCGGTCTGTATTCTTCTGCGTCATCACCCCAAATGAACTTCATTCTACCCATTGCATAAGGTTGATAAGCAATCATATCCCCTTTCCTCACACTGAATCCGTCCGGTAGAGTATCATCGGACAAACATACCTTTGCATCCTGCAATTGAAGTGGTTTGCAAATCGATTTCCTGGAAATGAATTAAGAAGTTTCAGTAAGAGAATTCGAGGTTCACGGAAAATTTTCTTACCACAGGAACTGCAGGGTAGAGCCTTAGCGTTTCATTTATAGCTGCATGAAGATAAAGCATCTCTTCTAAAGACTCTTCGCTCAGGCTAGTGGCAAATTTGGCAATATCTTCAACCTCCATTGATTTAGTCGCTTCCTTCACTTCTGCAGCAACTTTTTCTTGAACATCAGGATGTTTGCAAAGCATGTATATAAACCACGACAGAGTGGCTGCTGTTGTGTCTTTGCCGGCAATTACGAAGTTGAGAATTATATCTCGCAAGTACGTTGGATTTGTGTCAGACACTTGGAGAAACCTAGTTAAAATGTCTTCCTTTTTCATCTGCATCATCCCACAGAATACAATTATCTCAAAACTCTACGTCTATTCATGTAAAAGCTTTATGTAGTTCCATTTCACTTACTGCGGAATCATCTTTCGCGTCACGCAATTGTTCAATCTTGTTATTTATCAGCTTGTATACAAAATCATCAACCACTTTCACATTTTTCTTCAGTGCAGCTTCAGATCCAATGTTCAGAAATCTCTTGATCCTCCAGAAGATGTCGACATAACGAAAAAGGGTTAAAGCACTGGAATCATCAAAAGCAGCTGCAAACTCCTTGCCTTCCACATTTGATCCACACATGCTGTCTAGTTCAACTCCAAATGCAACTTTGAATATCGAATCTAAAGTCGATTTCATAAACAAATCCTGCAGAAAAAACAAGATTCATTCCATATGTTTACCCAACATTCATCTTGATCTCACCCAATTGAACTTACTTGAATATCCATTGTCTCATTGGAATTTGCCGCCTCGGACACTCTATTTCCAAGTCGTGCCACATTTTCCCTAAAGACAACACTGCTGAAATCTCTCAGGACCCTAGTTGAGAACTCATAGCTTGATACCTTCCTCTGTTGACGCCATTTATCCCCATCCACTGTGAAGATTCCATCACCTAATAAATCCCTTAGTAAGCTGTGATTATAATGACCCTGTCCACAAAATGACAAAAATTCAAGACCAGAAACATGTTATTTTTGTATGTAGATATCATTTTAGAAAATTAATCAGAAATAACTTTTTAGGTTGCTTTTTTTTTTGGGTAAAATAGCCCTACTAAATCTGGGTGTTTCTAAATTCTATCTAATTAAAGATCAAGCTACTCAAAATTTCCAGGCCAACAAATAATCCGACTTTTTTAAGTGAAAAAAAATGAGGAAATGGGAACATACCTTTCCATAGTTATCGAAATTCGTTTTTAGCATATATTCAACGTTGACAGGTTCCGAGGTATAAATCTCACTCCGAAAGGGTGTAAGCAGTCGGTAGGTCCGATATTTGGCCGCAAGATCAGTCATATAATGATGCAATCTATTGAAGTTGAGGAGCTGATTAATGAATGTGCCTGCAACAGGATGGTATTTGATGTTTCTCCCATTTTGACTCAGTTTTGAAGTGAAGAACTTGACGGAGATCAGGGAGAGGAGCAGCAGCAGCAGCAAAGCTGTGAAGGTAAATGAGTTGGAGAAATCCATGGAGAGGAGATTCTGTTTAGCAGCTCAGAAAATGTGACGAGTTTTCGTAAATGTTTTCATTTTATGATCAACGAGGAAGGTTACGCTCTAAGACCATTAAAATACGGTTAAAAAATAGCATAATTAGTTGAATAGATGATACTTTAAAAGTGTTATCGAAAATATTATATATTTTTATCTAAAAATTTATTTGTGTTAATAATAATAATGAAATATTATCGTTGTATGTAAAATGGAAAAAAAATATTGACTTAATAATTTAGGTTAATTACTGAAAATATTATTAACTGAAATAATATAACAAGTAGTGTCTATTTAACATAATATGTTGCGCCTGTTTAAAGATGATAGGTCTTAGAAATCCGACGATAACAAAATAGGTTAATTATTTAATTTGTTATTAATATTATTAATATATTAGATAACGCCTAAAATGTTACAAAAATTTAAATTGATGGGACCTTAGAAATACCACAATAATAAAATAGGTTAATTACTTATTTTGTTATAAATAAAGATTAACATACTAGCTTGCGCTCAATAATGTTGTTATTATGAATAAAGAAGTAGGTTGCGATTTGGAATATTAAAGTTGTATTTAATGAAATCAGTAGTGATTTAATATATTATGTATTTTTGAATGAAAATTATTTTTTAAAATAAACAGTGATACTACTATGATTTGATGGTCGATATTTTAGCAAATATCGATATCATCTATGATGTTTGATATTTTATCATTTTATAAACTTGTTAATTTGAAAAAAATATAAATATTAAAATTGAAAGTTACTTATTTAAAAAATTCTATTAAAATATCTTTGTAAAAATATTGATACTTAGTGTAAATGTATGAAAATTATTATATACTCAGTGTATATGTATCGATATGTATTCATAAAATTTATTAATATCTATTATCGATACTTTAAAATTTTAGATTTTTGATAACTGTTACCGAGACTTTAACATTTGAAAAAGTTGATGAATGTTAAAATATCGATAATTGATATTTAATGTATCGATATTTTCGAAAAAGTTGATAAACTCCACCTCCCACATTAACCTACAAGTGTCGATACTTTCGAATTTAAAAAAAATATTTCAAACGGTTAAGTTGTAAATATTTTATACCTTTTAACAAACTGGTAGTTAGTTTAACGTAATAAGTACCACATATTTTATTTTACCGTTTACATTATTATTAACTTTTAAACAAACTAGTAGCTTGTTTAACGTAATAGGTAGTGTCTATTTTATTTTATCGTTTACATTATTATTAACCTTTAAACGAACCAGTAGGTAGTTTAAAGTAATATGTAGCGCCTATTTTATTTTACTGTTTTCATTATTATTAATCTTTAAACAAATTGATAAATAGTTTAACGTGATAGGTAGCGCCTATTTTATTCTATTCGGTTAAGTTATAATTATTTCACCGTTTACATTAATATTATACATTTAAATAAACTGCTAGGTAGTTTAACGTAATAGGTAACACATATTCTATTTTAATTGGTTAAGTTGTAAATAGTTTACCGTTTACATTATTATTATACTTTTTAACAAATCAGTAGCTAGTTTAACGTAATAGATAGTGTTTGTTTTATTTTACTGTTTACATTATTATTAACCTTTAAACAAATTGATAGCTAGTTTAACGTAATAGGTAGCACCTATTTTATTTTACCGTTTACATTATTATTAACTTTTAAACAAACCAGTAGGTAATTTAACGTAATAGATATCTCCTATTTTATTTTAACCGGTTAAGTTGTAAATATTTTATTGTTTACAATAATATTATACTTTTACACAAACCGGTAGGTAGTTTAACGTAATATGTAGCATTTATTTTATTTTACTGTTTACATTATTATTAACCTTCAAACAAACCGGTAGATAGTTTAACGTAATAGGTAGCGTCTATTTTATTTTTACCGGTTAAGTTGTAAATATTTGACCGTTTACATTAATATTATACATTTAAACAAACCGGTATTTAGTTTAACGTAATATGTAACGCCTATTCTATTTTAATTGGTTAAGATGTAAATAGTTTACCCTTTACATTAATATTATAACTTTAAACAAACCGGTAGTGTAACACCCCCAACCCGTATCCGACCCGGATACGAGTCCGAAGTGTCACATTGACTTTTCAAACATTTATTCGTATAAAATAGTGAGTAATTTTAAAAACTTTTATAACATTTAACTTGTTCAAAACATTTACAAAACTATTCAGAGCTTGTACAATATATTCTTTTGATTACATGCCAACTAGAACTTTATATATAAAAATACATATTATTAACCTCTCTTCTGATATGACATTCGGTAAGGAGAACTGACCTGTCTTGTTCCTCTTTACTTCTCTTTTTGCTTTCCAAACCTACATGTGAAACAATCACACGCTAAGTCGATGACTTAGTGAGACATATAAAACATAAAATATTTCATATAACATAAAGGATACATAAACATATACCATCATTATCATAATCTCTATCATTATCATTAAGAAACACATATAACATCATATGGTTCATGTAACACATTTCAAACCACTTACTTTTGATAACCATTTATAAATCCATCGTATACATATCACATTCAGTATGTTTATTTAATCTCTTTATTAGCCCATGTATACTAGTGAGAACTTAAGGTATGTGAGTACATTGAGGTTGTGCACACATATGCTGTCACCACAGCTCGATCAATGTCCCGAAGGACCTATCCAGAGGTCATAACGATCCTCGGTAACTATCCAGACGTCATAAAGATCCTCGGCAACTATCCATAGGTTCCGAAGAACCTAGGTAAACTGTCCATATGTTACTTAGAACATAGGTATATTGTCCATATGTCTCGAAAGACATAGGTAATTCTATCCATATGTTCCGTAGAACATAGGTATACTGTCCATATATCTCGAAAGACATAGGTAATTTTGTCCATATGTTCCGTAGAACATAGGTATACCCTCGACTCTTGGCATGCCAACTATACCCCTAGCTCTCATATCACATAACATGGGCATTATCATTTATAACATTTCATATCACTTGTTGTTTCTCTTCTGTCACATACCACATGTATGTGTAACCACATATCTCATATCATATCACATGTATCACAAGTGCATGTATTCACGTAGATCGTTTCATATGACTTATATCATTTCTCATTTGTTCATGTAACTCGCATGTCATATCATGTAACATATAACACATAATCATATAGGCTCAAGGTTTTATCACATATCATGTTATTTCACATATACACTTTTATATCGCATAAACTCATATATATCATATCACCTATAATAACATATGACACATATACCCATAACTTCATATCACATACTTATATCAATTCACACTTAGTCACATGGGTCATTTCTCATAACATATATCACATCACATATGTTCATGGGTATATCCCATAGCATATAAAATAACATATAAACTTATATATGTATTCATGTGTATACTTTCATTTAGCCTATATATCAATGTCATATAACTTATCTCATAACTTATTTGATATTCATATATATTCTCATCTTATAACTTATATTACCTATGCATATAACCTTATGACCTATTATCAAGTACTCAATTAATGTTCCTATATGGTTCCATCTTTATCATATAACCTATGAGCTATTCTTATATTACCCTATATCAACCATACTTTGTTTATCTCACTTTTCATATCATTCATTTATCACATATATGTCACTTTGCTTATAACACTTCTCTGGTTTTCATATGACATATAAATCATTGTCATCTCTTGTTCTCATATAATTTCATACAGTCACTTATCACTTATCACATAGTTTACATCCTATGATCATAGAATCATATCAATAACACATATACTCATGCACACATATAAATCATAACAAACACATACCTCTATGAATTCATGCATTTTACTATTGGAAATAGACTTATCATAAGTCTTATTTTCCATTTAACATCATATACTAAATAATGTGCACTCACCTTAGCTTTGCTTTGATTCGATTCTAATCCTTCAATTGATTTAGAACGGGATCACGTTATATATCTACATAATCATACATAGATCTATATTAGTATTATAACTAATATACTCTAATGGTTCACTCTTTAGATTAAGATAAATGCCAATTTCTTCTTTCAATAAGGGTATGCATTGATGCACTACTGATGCATCGGTGCATAAAATACATTCGATGTTGTATTATTATTGGGATGCATCGATGCATGTCTTATGCATCGATGCACTAATTGCATTCGATGTTTCTATTTTAAAAGAGTGTATCGATGCACTACCTGTGCATCGATACACCTTTAAACAAATTTCTGGGTTTTAACCTTGATGCAGCGATGCACAATGAATATGCATCGATGCACTCTGCCCAGAATCCTCTTTTTGAACCCGAAAATTCATTCATTTTTGCTTAAATCCTTCATGTTTCATCCCCTTTTTCATTCTTAACTCTAGTACACATACTTAAACCAATCTATACTCATTTATTTCATCTTAAACCTAAAAATCCTATCTTCCATATGTAATTCAATAATTACATCAATTTTGCAACATGTTTCAAATCCAATTATATTACTTCATATCTCTTACTTAGATTGATGACAAGTCAAATCCAACTTTCAATTCTTATTATAAACTCTATTTCAAGATTTCATTCAAGAACCACTAATCTTTAATCTTCTCTATCTCCTTTATCTTTTGATTTTAGGACAACCTAAGCTTTCCATAATCTTAAGTATTACATAAGGATCAAAACCCACTGTTAAAATCAACAAATCATCAACTAAGAAGGAATCTTACCTTTGTCTTGGAGCTTTAATGGGAGAAACAAGAAGATGAAGAAGAAAAGAGAGAAGAGATTTCTGGAAAATCTCTGATCCTTATCCATATATATATATCATTATTTAATTCATCTCTTGGTCAAATGACCCTTTTGCCTTTTAATACCTTTTATAATTACTAACATCTTTTAGGATTTATTTCCAGATAAATCATTGAACTAATCCATTCTTCTACT